TCACTGTGCCCGGTCTGTGGCTCACACTTTTAATCTCAGCACTTCGGGAGGCCAAGGTGGCAGAATCACTTGAGCCCAGGAGGTTGAGACTAGCCTGGGCAACATAGCAAGACCCCATCTCTAAAAAAAGGAAAAAATTCACTGGGGGTGGTGGCATGCACCTGTAGCTCCAGCTGCTTGGGAGGCTGAAGTGGGAGGATCTCTTGAACCCAAGAACTTGAAGCTGCAGTGAGCTATGATCACATCATTGCACTTCAAGCTGAGTGCCAGAGTGAGACCCTGTCCCCCCAAAAAAAGAAAAAGGAAGGAAGGAAGAGAAGACATAAAATAATGTTCTTCCCAAAGTCATCTCTCATGTACTTGGACCTTAGTTTGGGGAGCACAACAGAGGATGGTGACCACGGTGAGAGGGACCACCCCAGATCCAGGGCCATCATGGGGATAGCAGCAGGTCAGTGAGGAAGTCCACACATGCCATGTGGTGCTGTCAGTGTTCACTCAAGAAACAGTCATCGCGGAGAGTGTGGTGGCACATACGTAACAAATACTGAAATCAAATCAGACCTCTACCATTCAGTGTTGCTTTGGGCTTGTCAGTGGACTTCTCTGAGTCTCGGTAGCCGTTTCTGAATCGGGGACCATGATAACACCCCCCTGATGGGGTGTAGGGAGGCACGCATCCATGAGGCAGGTGGTCAGCCCCTGGTGAGCTGCGGCTCTCATGCCCATGGGAGCCTTCTTCCCTTGGTTCGGTGCAAGGTGCTGGGTTCTCGCAGACTCTGTGCCCCTCATGGACACATCCCAACACACCCAGGGAGGGGTGTGTGTGTGTGTGTGTGTGTTGGGGGCAGGTGGCTTTTCTTGAAACCTGGCTGAATCTCCTCTTTCCTCTGTGGCTGGGCAGGGGGTGGCAGACCTGGCAGCTGTCCACAGACCTCCCGACAGTGGATGCTTGGCGGGAGGAGGCTTGTGGCAAACCTGGCTGGTTTCCAGTATTTCCAGCCGGGTCCCCTGTTGCCTTGGTCTGCCCTTGGAGGAGCCCTGTGAGTCAGGCCACACAGCGGGCAGGAGTGCATGTGTCTGCTGCAGCGCCTCATACCCCAGTCCGAGGCCACACTTGGAGTGCTGCTTTGGGGCTGGTGGATTGTGGGGCTGGTGGATTGTGGGGCTGGGGTGTGCATGAGAGGCTGTGCTTGTCTCCCTGTGGACTGACTTCTGAGGGGCACAAATCTATGCTTTATGCCCAGGAATATGGCTGAGGTAGGCCCCCAGCAACTTCTTCCACCCCCAAAGGCATGGGTGACCTCTGGAACCCCTGGCCACTGGTCGTTGAGGCTGGAGAGTGCGGGCCAGCAGGGTGACCTCAGGGCTGGTGGGCATTTGGGAAGGGGATTCAGAGTTCCGCGTGGGACCTCAACCCCCGGCCTTCTCTTTCTTTCGCTTCTGTGCTGTCCTTTGTCCGCTGTACGTCTCTTATGGGTCTTAAGCTTGTGTCTGTGTCAGGAGGAGAGACTGAAGAAGGGAGGGGAGAGGTGGGGGGAAAGTCCCTGGGAAGGACTTCAGCTGTTCTGTCTGCTTCCTTTCTCCTTTAAGTTTGTTCCAAATCCATCTCTCACTGTCCTCTCTGTGTCCAGCCTCTCCTGTCTGTCTATCTGTCTGTCTCTGGGGAGGGAAGGGAAAAGGGGTCCCACTACCCCAGACCCTGGGCTTCCATCTCCATGGGAAACCTCAGAGCGATTTTTGCCTTCATTCTCCCCATGTGTTCCCTCCCGCCCTGGCCCTTTTTCCAGCCGGCCCCCAGCCTTGAGAATAAGTATGTCCTGGACGTATGCTAGTCTGAGGGAGAAGGCAGGGCTCCCCCTACCCAACCTCGAAGGAAGACTACGAGCTCCTTTTCACGTCTTTTAGGGAGCATCTAAAAAGCACCCCTTCTTCCTTCACCTGCTGACACCAGCTTTAGGAGGAGAGGGGGTTGTGTGGCTGGAGAGGGTCTCAGGATACCTTCTACCCCTTTCATCCAAGCCCCCTCCCCTTGGCCTTAAAGGGCGGTACTCTCCCCGCGGTCATTACCGCTCCAAACCCACGGAGGAACAGGAAGTATCCAGCCCTTGTTCCTCACCCCTCCCTGGGGGCCGTGGGGCTCACTTTCCACGCCATTCACCCACCTCCCCCTTCAGTCCCTAGTGGGGTGCCGGGCAGCCTCCGCCTCGCGCCAGACGCCTCTCCACTCTCCTTAGTCCCAGGCCCCGCCCTTCCCCGCAGGGACCCCCAGTGGGGGATGGGCAGCCCCAGGCCGGGCGCGCTGTGACCCCGCCATGCCCCTCTCACCTCTCGCAGATCCGGAGCGGAGCAGCCCCCCCATGCTGTCTGCGGACGATGCCGAGTACCCGCGGGAGTACCGGACCCTGGGGGGCGGGGGCGGCGGGGGCAGCGGGGGCCGGCGCTTCTCCAACGTGGGGCTGGTGCACACGTCCGAGCGGCGGCACACAGTGATCGCGGCCCAGAGTCTGGAGGCGCTCAGCGGGCTCCAGAAGGCGGACGCCGACCGCAAGCGTGATGCTTTCATGGACCACCTGAAGAGCAAATACCCGCAGCACGCCCTGGCCCTGCGAGGCCAGCAGGACAGGATGCGTGAGCAGGTGAGTGGGCTCCCGGCTGCGGCTGCGGCCGCGGCCAGCGGGCAGGGGAGGGAGTCTGACCCCGTGCTCCATGCCCCCAGGCTCATTCCAACTCTGGGAGGCATCTGGAGCAGAGAGAGAAGGGGAGGAGTTGGGGAGCTGTCCCTGGGGCAGTGGCTCCGGTTGGCCTTTTCTGGAGCCTGGGAAGGAAAGGGGTGGGGGCTTGGTCTCCAGACCTCTGCCTGCAGTCCGGAAATTGAGAACATGTGATGGGGCAGAGAGAGCCCAGCCTCTTTAACTTAGGCTGTTTGGGCAGAACTCTTCTGGGAGGAAAGGAGAGGAGGATAGCCTTGGGGACTTGTTCTGTGCCCGAGAGAGTCCATCCTGTGGTGCAGATGAAATGCTGGCCAGGGTCGTCGGCAGCTCTGTGATATGGACTCTAAGAGAGGATCGGGCCTTGAGAGCCTCAGTGAGCTGCGTCCGATGTGTCCCCAGTCCCTGCAGCCTGCAGGAATGGAGCCCAGAACTGGAGCCTTTGACCTCTTTCCTCCCTGTTCCACCCCATGGCTTGCTGGGTGACTTGGAGCTGGAGGCCTCCTCTCTCTGTGCCTGGGTATCTCTCCTGCCATCAGTAGGGCTTAGAGAGGAGACACAGCACCTCTCTCTGGACCAGGACCTGTCTCCTTCTATAGCGGGTGGGATGGTTCCTTTTTAAACCTCCCCCAGAACCTCGGGGTCCTGAATACATCTCTCCACCCGAGTATGAGCTTCTTGTCTGTAAGAACATGCTTTCTGGGTCTAGCAGCCTGTGTACAGTTCTGCATTGGTGAGGCGCCTGCATGGTTGATGCATATTGGCTTCTGAGACTCAGCCATTGTCCCCCTGGGTAAAGGGACTGAGGGGAGGGATGCACATCCCATCAGCAGCCTTTCAGTCAAACCTGGGGTTGCGTCAGTCCCTGTCTCCCTTTTCCGGGTTCTACTGGATGTCATTGAGGATAAGGAGGAGTGTCTCTACTCCCATCCTCACTGCAGGGAACAAGACACATTGGCACATTTCTGGTACCTTATCTGCCCCCTAGTGCCACTTCCAGTTCTGTCTGGCTTTTGCCTTTTCCCAGCTCCAAAGTCCTTGTGGGAGCAGGATGCAGATCAGGATTAGAGAGAGTTGAAGATGCAGATGTGGCCCTCAGGGAGCCCCTCTCATTGGGTTCCTGCTGTGTGCACTGGCTTGAGGAGAAGGGCAGGGGCATTTGTCATCTAGCTGGGGAGGGGAACAGTCAGTTGGGAGGCGGTTTAGAGGAGGGAAGATCATAGGCAGGCCTGATCAGGGAAAGCTTCCTGCAGGAGGAGGTATCTAAACTGGGCTTAGAAAGATGAAAAGCATTTGCATAGGTCTAGAGGAAAAGAATGTTGTTTTAGGAGTGGTGGGGGGTGTGGCATGGGCATAGGCCTGAGTTGATTTGGGAACTGGCCCAGAGGTCCAACTGGCTGGCAAGAAGGCTCAGGTGGGAAGTAGTGGGATGTGTGGGGGCTGAAAAAGTGGGGCAGATGGTGGTGGCTAGGATGGCTGTGGTTGCTTTTGGATGGTGAATAGGAGGGGAGAAGCGGGGCTGGAGGAGGGGAAGGAGAAGAGGAAGAGTGTATCAGGGATGATGAAGGGGAAAGGATGGACAGATGGGGGTTGGAAGAAGACCAAGTGTAGGTCTAAGGCTAAGCTGCCTGGGCCTAGAAGGCAATGACAGAAACACCTGGGCTACAGGGAGATGTTGGTGCCTTGGAGAGAAATAGGAGGGTTGGAGGGAAATGTTTGGGGGTGGGGGAGAGGAATATATGGAGACGGGTTTGAGTAGTGGGTAGGGCATTCTTGGGGATGCTCTTAAGGCACCAAATGCACCACTCAGGACTCCAGAGAGGCCACAGCTTCAGGAGGAGAGAGTTGAGCATGGTCACAGCAGATACGAAGTGGACCTGGGAGGCTGAGTGGCCATCAGGGAGGAATGGGGTCTAAGAAGAGAGAAAGCCCATGATGTTTGGGGAAAGGGGACCAGGAATGTTCTACATCCACGAGGAAGTCCCAGGGGAAAAAAGGCGCCTGGACAAGGGGCCAGCAGGAGGGTGACCAGCCCTTCAGACGTCCAAAAGGATGGGGAGAGAGAAACAGACATTGCGACTGACAGGGATCTGTGGGCGCAGAGGGTATTGAGAGCTTGTGTCTTGTGGTGTGGTAAAGTAATGGTCAATTTCAGGGGTTAGGAAGACGGGTTGGTAAAGGATCAGGAGCCCCAGCTACAGACTTACTTTGGGGAGATTGGGCCAGGAAAAGGATGAAAACAGCTGGGTGGAACTTCCAGGGGCAGCAGGCCTGGGAGAGAAGGTATATCTAAGGGCCTCCTATGTTCTAGCATGTTCACCAGCACAGAGTGTGGAACTCAGTAAATACTTAGGAAATGAATCAAAGCCCAGTCACCCTCAAATTCATTCCTTTCTTCTTTCACTCATTCGTTTCCCCACTTAGAGTGTAAGTGGGTAGGATCTATGGCCCATTCACTTGCAATGGAATGCTCGGTGCCTAAGCATGGTGCCAGCTCAGGCAGTGTTTGTGGAATGAATGAGAGAATGAGGGAGGAATGAATCTGAGGATGCCAAGGGGAAAGAAGGCCATGGGAAACAAGTCCTAGAGGAATCTGGAAGGATGGTCTTAGGTGTGGGGTGGTCTTGGGGAACGAAGCGGGTGGAGTCACTTCCACTAAGATACAGAAAAGAAAGATATGCTGTGGGATAGAAACAACTGGGGGAAGGCTTCTCCTGCCCAGCGGTTCCTATTTCTGTGAGGTAGGTGTGACACCTTCAGTGAGGAGGGGACGAGAGCTGGGGAAGGGGAGATGGTAAGGAGCAGCTTCCTTGCCAGTGTGCAGAGGGGCATCCAAGAATTGGACACGAGGCCAGGCACAGTGGCTCATGCCTGTAATTCCAGCACTTTGGGAGGCTGAAGCAGGTGGATTGCTTAAGCCCAGGAGTTTGAGACCAGCCTAAGCAACATGGCTGTCTCTTAAAAATATATATATATTTTTTAATTAGCTGGGCATGGTGGTTCGTCCCTGTAGTCCTTGCTACTCAGGAGGCTGAGGTGGGAGGATCACTTGAGCCCAGGAGGTTAAGCCTGCAGTGAGCCGTGATCGTGCCACTGCACTCCAGCCTGGGAGACAGAGTGAGAACCTGTCTCAAAAAAAATAAAGTGGAGATGAGGATTTCAGGAATGTCTGATAGGGAAGGCCCTGCCCTGGGCTCAGGGAAGCCCCGGGTCTAACAGAAAAGGCAGACATCCAGAAACAGAGCAGGGCTCTAGTTAGAGAGATACCCAACCTAAGGAAAGGACTTGCCAGCGTCGCTAGACCCCTCTGCAGTATGAGCTCTGTGCCAAGGCTTACCCCAGGAATGCCCTTCCCTCCCAGTCACAGTACCCCAGCGGCTCCTGCCCGCTTCCCCTAATGGGGTGTCCCCCGCTTCGCACACACAGGTTGGCGGCTGGACCGTGGACCCCGTGTGCCTCCTCAGCTCCCTCTGCTCCCACCTCCATGGCGACTCCGCCCCCTCCGGGGCTGGCCAGCCGGCCCAGGTGAGTCACCCACCTCCACCCCACCCCCCAAGCCCATGGTGGAGTTTGGCTTTGGGGAGGACTTTTTTTTGGAGGGGGGTGTTCAGGATTTTTATTTAGCAACCTTTTCTCTTTGGTGTAGGAGCCCCTACTTTCAGGAGACTTCTATGCCCCATACTCACATCTGCCCGATGTCTAATTCCCTGTCACTACCTCCCCAAGCCTGGTTGACTTTGGAGAAGGAATTTTTTGAGGGAACATACTCAGGATTTTTAAAAAAGTTTTTGTATTCCTTTCTCCTTTAAACAGAAATCCCCTGACCTTGCCCTGTGGGTTTTATGCCTTCCTCCCACTGAGGACCATCTTATTCCCCTCTCCACACCCTCCCCTTCGTTTCTGAGCAGATCCAGCCTTCCCCAGATGTCCCACCATCAGGAAGTTCTGCATGAAGTCTCTCTCTCACCCTTCTTGCTAAGTTCATGGCTTAGTCTCTAATTTTTAAGAAGACTTGGGTATCAAGTCATCTGTTCTGAACTTATTCCCCTCTTCCTCATCAAGCTTTGATGTCCATTATGGGAAGATAGATCTTAGCTTAGACAGGGGCACATGTAGGCAGGATACTAGGGGCCTGGGCTCCCGGCTAGGCCTGGACATTGCTATGGGGGAAAAATAGGCATCTGAGGCCCAAAATAAGCATCAGAGTTGCAATGGGGAGGGGACAGCCCAGGGGAGGACTTGACTTGAGGATGTTCAGCTGTAGGAGGCAGAGGAGGGATAGTGGCAGGGAATCCAGTGGAAGCAGAGTGCTCAGGTCCTTACACACCCTGCTTCCCCCAGAGGACAAAAACGCTTGGCTTTTTCAAGGAGAATGAAGAGAAAGAAAATTGTGACCACCAAGGAAATGACAGGCCTTCAGAGGGAGGATGTTTTAGCCGAGTGTAACTCAAGTCTAGTAACAGATTGGCATGCTTGGCATCACTCACAGGGCATTCAGCCCAATTTCTTTCCCAGTTCCCAAGCCCCATCTTGGCTGAACTTTGGGGAATAGGAATGTGTCTGCCCCCAAGGCTGGATGGCAAGTGGGACAGACTTGTCCTGAATGGCCAAGTGCATGGTGGAGACCAAAGTGGGGCTAGGACAGGGATGGTGATAGGACAGAGGAGGATGTGATATGCACAGGCAGGGTTGGGGTGCCTTGGCTGCCCAGAGGTCCTCCCCAGATGGAGCGTCTTGGGGCTGTGATAGGGGTTGGATGATGGACAGGAGTGAGGCTGGACTGGGTGAGCTCAGTTGTCCCAAGTCAGGGGGCTAGGGGGCTGGGGATTTTGGCCTGTCCACATCTGGGATCTGCTCTGATGGGGGAAAGGGGAGCGCTTGAGCAGACCTTCTCCTGGGGCTCTGTAATTAACCAGGAAAGTGTCTGTGCATAGGATCTTGTCATCACTTGGTGCTTATCACACTCCCTGCCCCTAAGGCTGAGTCTGAGGTTCCCTTTTGTCAAGTGCAGGACCAGAGACTTTGGAAAGGCCACAACCACACAGCAGGGCAGAATCAGAGGCCATCTAGGAAACTTAGGCATACTAGGTCTCCCAGACTTGGCTAGGGATTAAGTCACGGGAGAGTTAAAGGCCAAAGGTGCACAGCGAAGGCCCCGCTGGGGAGAAGCTGTGAGCTCTGAAGGTTGAGCAGGAGGCAGAACACTGTCCTCTCCCTGACCCTCCACCAGGCGGGACCTTTAGGGATGGGGGCAGTGAAGAGGATCCTGGGAGGGGACCAGAGATTGGACTCCAAGCCACAGCCCCTCCCCCGGCTTCCACCAGGCTGTCTAACCTCCCTCCCTCCTGCTGCAACCCGAGTCCCGGGCGCCGGGCCGGCGTATCGGGTGACCGCGGCGACGCAGCCACCAGCCTCCGCCGCTCCTCTGCGGGGCTGCGCCGGCGGGGCCGCGCCGGGGGAGGGGGCCGCGAGAGGGGATGTGCACGGCGGCGCGCCGCGCAGCGCCAGGTGGAGTCGCGGTTACCGGGGCGACCGGGGCCCGGGCCGGCACGGCGGCGGCCGCGGCGGCTCTCGCATTGCAGCAAAGGGCACCGGCGGCGGCGGCCGCGGCTGCGGAGGCAGCCAGGGGAGAGAAGAGCCCGGGCGGGTGGGAGTAGGGGCCCTCCCTCCTCCGCCGGACGCAGGACCTGGGGCTGGGGACCCCGCGCGTACACCTGTGGCCGCAGGTAAGGGGGAGCGGCTGTGGGGGCCGGGATCGTCGCCTCGGGTTGGGCGAGGGGCGGGGACACGGAGATGGGGGCCCGCTCCGCGGCACCGAGAGCCATCCAGGGGTGGGGGTCGCCCAGGCCATTGCAGGTTCCCGATCCCTGAGAAACGCCTCCTCCCCTCCCCCACTGCATTAGGTGCCTTCGGCGTGGGCCGGCCCCCACTCCAAAATCAGGCTGGCGCCCCCTCCCCCAACCTCGGAAAGTCATGACCTTCCCGGGGTGCGCCCTCGCCCCCAGAGTCCCACAGCACCCCCCGCACCCACCCACACACACTCTGCGTTGGGAAGGAGATGAGGGTGTCATCTGCACATCTGGAGGAGAGGGTCGTGCATGTACATCGCGGTGGGGGCAGGCGCCCGAGGGGGGGCGAGTGGCTTAGCCCCAGCCGGGGGGACGAGTGTTTACACGGACTCGTGTTCATGGGAGTTGAGAGGTGGGTGTGTGCACCGGTGCAGCAGAGCCAGGGGATTAAGGAGCCGGTGCGGACCCGTGGGTTGCTCTCCCTCCTTGGAAGATGCGTGGTCGGGGCTTGAGGTCAAGAAGGGGTCATGCGCTCACTGAGCCTGCTGGGGATGCCTGCCCAGGGGAGGAAAGAGACCTCAGTTGGCTGGGCCAAGCCTCCCCAGGGGCCCTAGCCCCTCCACTCCCAGGGCATGAGGGCTGAGGAGGGAAAGACCGGCAGCAGGGGAAGTAGGAACCCGGCTACCAGTGGCTAGGATGGAGGAGAGAGGAAGGGAGTTAACTCCTTAGCTCCCAGAGGGAAGAAGCTGTTTCCTCTTCTCACCAGGAGTTTGAGGACTCCCTGGCCTGACTTCCTGGGGCCTTGAGTGACGCTCCCCTCCCCCGTTTCTCAAAGCCTGGTCCCTAGGGTCCTATGCTTCCATCTTACCCTCTTAGAACACCTCTCATTTTGCCCCAGCTCCTTTTAAGATTCCTCCCCACAAGTGGTTGCCCCTGCTGGGGTCTCTCCTACTCACTCCTTTATTTATTTCCCCCTTTCACTGTCTTTTGGGAAGGTGAGACCCCCTCCCTGACTGTGGCAGAGGGGGGCAGCTTTGGCACTGGAAGATTTGGCTTGGAGTGGACAGCCAGACCTCTCCTGACCCTCCTTGCCCTCTGCCCTCCTAACTGGGGGGTTTCTGGTGTTGGGAAATTCCCAGGGAAAAGGCCCAGAAGGCTGAGCAGTGCTGGGTGCCAGGAGATGGAGGGAGTGGTGCCAGACCTGAGCATTCAGAGATCCCACCCTCCACTCATGGCTCGGTCCTATTTTATTGACATTCATTCATCGTTACATACTTGTTGAGCGCCTGCTATCCACCAGGTACTACTGGGCACAGCAGGAGGAACAGATACCCTGGAAAGGGGTGAGGAGGTAAAGGGTGCTGGAAGTTGGAAGGAGAGTGACTAGGAATGTCCCACCTTAGAGAACAGGGCAGGAGCCGTTTGCTCTCAGTCACCCTAGTCTGTCCCATGGGTTAAAATCCTGGAAAGAGACAGAGAAGGGGATGGGCGATATCCCCGGAGGCCTCCCCCACCTCAGTTTATCTCACCAGAGACACTGAGTTGCCAAGAGACTGTGGGGTGGGGCCACCCCTGGTTCGTTCCTGGTGGGGCCAACATGAAAGAGGATCATTCTTCCCACTTTCCAGAGGGAGGACAGATGATGGAGGGGCAGGATTCACTCACGTACTCTATAGATCAGAGCCTGAAGCTCCATATTTTGATCTCAACATCTCTCATGCATCCAAGTGACCAGCACAACCACAGCCCCTCTTCCATCTTTATCTTTTGAGGGGCTTGACTGGTCTTTCCTATGGCACTGATGCCACTCAGTCCTCTCCCTTGGCTGCTGCTAGTGATATGTCCCTTCCAGGTGACTGCCCCATGGATGTGCACAGCCTTGGGACCCTGGGGCAGGCCCACGTGGAGGCCATAGCCAGTGTGGCTGTGGCTAGGCCCTGTCCTTATCTCTCTCCCAGGACAACGAGGTGGGCCCCAGTCATCCGAACAAGGTACCCTGAGTCTGATGTGTTGACACTGGTGGCAGGGTGGGAGACAGGACATCTTCTATCTCTTTTGCATCAGAGGTCACCTCCCTGACTCATGATATCTGGAACATGATAGGCATGGGACAGTGGCACCCTGATCAGGGGCTTTCTCTTTGTACATGGGTGGCTCTGAGGCCATGTGTGTGTGCGTGTGTGTGTGTGTGTGTGTGTGCGTGGTGTGTGCATTGCTTTGTGTGTGTTTCGATAGCCGGGGTGCGTGTCTCACTGTGGGTGGGCACCGTGTCTCTGTTTCTGTGGCTGCAGTGTTTTGAGGGTGAGTGTGAATGCTATCAGCACCTCTTGTCCTCTGTGACTGGCTGTGGTGCTTGTGAGAGTGTGTAAGCGAGGCAGGGGCCTGGAGGGAGGGGAACACGTTTGTGTATGAGTGGGGGCGGTCTATGTGTGAATGTCTCTGTCTCTGAGTTTCTGTTTGTTTCCAGGGCTGTTTCTGACTGGGGAGCCCCTCTCTCAGTAGCGGGGTGTGTGTGTGTGTCGCTCTGGGTGTCTGTGGAGATGTCCTTATCAGAAGATGTGTCTGAGAGTCTGGGCTCAGCTGTGAGTGAGCCTGCATGTTTCGGGGAGCTATGGGTGGCCCATGTGTGTGCCACCCGTGCCTGGTGTCATAGTAGTGGTGGGTGAGGGACTCGAGGCCTTCTCTGCAGAGCAGTCCATCACCACTGGGTCTACAGATGTGACTGTCCTCAAAACCTTCTGGTGCCCTCTGCCTGCCCCCACGTGTCCACTCCCTTTGCTACCCCTCCCCTTCCCCAGGCCACAGTCAGCTGCTGCTGGAGCCTGTTACTTGGCCCCTGGTCTCCCCTACCCTCAGTACCTGTGGGCATCCCCTAGCACCACTGGGGGTGGCCTCAGTCCAGAGATGATTCCAGGCATTGGCTGGGACACAGACTACAGACTTTGTTGTCCCCTTCTCCTGCCTGGTATGTGACTGTTTGTTTGTTTGTTGTTGTTTGTTTGTTTTCCAGAGCGAATGTTGGGGGAAGGATGGGGATGATGGCTTAGGAGGGGGTCCTGGCAAATAACCCTCTTGGTCCCAGCCCCAGCCCAGTGTCACCCCTACCCCAAAAGTCTGCCTTAGGTAAAGCCTCCAGCCAGAGTGTCCCTCGACTCAGCCCCTTCCAATTCCTCCCTGCCAGGAAAGCATTCAGGTGGCCCAGGACACCCTGGCATGGTGTTTCTTCCCCCAGGGGCGCCCTGGATGTCCCTCTCCTCTGCCAGTAGCTCTAAGGCCTGGGGATGTTGTCTGCTCGTGCCAGGCACCCCCGGGCCAGGCCATCTGCTGCCTCCATCTCCCTGCTGAGGCTGGCACCGGTCAGCAGGGTGCCTCGGCTTTGCCAAGAACCAACCCAGCCCCAGGGCTGCTCCTTCCTTGTACTAAGCCATCTGGAAGGGCCTTCTGGTCTCTAGGGAAGGTAGGGCAACCCTCGGTTACTGCAAATGAGGGGGACTCTCCAGCTTCCCATTCTAGGGATGCTAAGAGGGATGCGAGGAGCACTCCTCAATCCCAGCCAGCCACCGTCCCCAGTCTCCCCAAGTCCCTTCACTGCCCCCAGCTCCCCAGCCATTGATTGCCCAGTGAGTGAGGTTCCTGACATCTGGCTGCTCTGCTCTGTAAACTAGATCCATTATGCTGTATAGGCCTCTCTCTCTTGGCCTTGGCCCCTAGCCCCCCTCCTCCGACCCCTGCCCCATTCACCCTGATCCACCCGATCCACTCCTGCCCCAGGGTCTAGTTCTGATTCCACTCTGCTCCATTCAGACACTTTCTGCTTGTCCACCCAGAAGTCTAAATACTTTCTCTCAGCAGTTATGGCCACTCATCATCTGGCCTCAGCCTCCCACTCCCCACCCTTTGCAGCCTAATCTGCTACTTTCCCAGCTGTACCCCAGCCAACGTGGACTAGCGACTTCCCTCAACTCCATCTCCCCTTGTTTGCCCCTGGGCACTTGCCCACGCCATACCCCCCTGCCCAGCAGGCCTCTCCTCCCAGTCTCCAGCTGCTGGTTTTTCCAGACCCATCTCAAATGCCACCTCTTCCAAGCACTGTTCCCTGGCCTGCCATTTCTCTGACCCCACAGCTCAGCTTTGTCACTGCCTCTCTTGTGACTGCCTCATGGGTTTGCTCTATCACCATCCTGTGTGCCTTTTCCCACCGGTAACTCTGGGAGGAGTCGCTGTAGCGCCTGCTTGGGGCCATCCTGGGTATACCATGGTGTTCCAGGTCTCAGTAGAGAATGGATGTATCCAGCATGACTTCCTTCCTGCTCCTGGGAGGGTGGTGGGCCCTTGTCCTAGGGCTGAGTGCTGAGTTCCAAGGGTCTCTAACCTGCCCCTGCCCCTCTTTTCCCCTCCTGGGCCCCCTCATAACCATCTCTTCTCTTATTTCCATCAGCAGCCAAACTACTGGAGTTTCAAGGTCAGTGTGTGAGATGCCTCTGCTCCCATGACAACTGCATGTGCTCTCCCTCCCCTGCCCCTGCCTCTCCCTTGCACAGGCTTTGCACTGGGGTGCGCGTCTGCACGGGCACCTTCTGGTATGGGCGGTGGGCCTTGAGGCTGCAGGCTGTGGCTGCTGCTTTGGGAGAGTCTGGGTTCGCCTGTCAGGGGCTTGGGGATGGAGTGGGAGTTTGGGCCACCCTTGCTGGGGGTCTGGGCTAGAAATTCTCAGTCCCCAGGCATCCCTAGCCCCTGAGGGGCATTTTGGAATGGCATACATTTTCCCTAGCCTGGAGAGACTGTTGGCTCTGAGTTAGGGACCTAGACCCTTGTTGTGGGCCCTCTTCTTTGAATTCATATCTCACCTCCCAGGGAGGCCCTGTAACTGTGATGGGTCCCTCTTCCTTTTCTTTCTCTCCACCATGGGGGCTGGTCAGTGCTAGGCAGGAGACTCTTAGTCCTACACCCTCAAGCCTTTTGTCTAAGTGGAGGGCTAAGCTCAGGGATAGGTACCTTCCTGCCTCCTCCTGAGCTCTGGCCTTTCCAAGCTGAGAGAGCTGTCTGCCCTTCCCAGGGTATCCTGCTGACCCCTGGGGGAGCAGCCTCAGGCACCTGCTTGCCTCCTGGAGTCTCTGGCCTCTCAAGTCCCAGGCATCATGACAGGGGGTGGGAGGCATCCCACCCAGACTCCCCAGGTGTCTTACTTGCATGCATTCTTCCTAGCACTGCAAGAAGTCCTCGAATCAGAGAATCATGGAGTCAAAGTCACGGTGTCAAGCATAGCCTCTTTGGAGGAGGCAGTTGAGGGTAGTGGTTAAGTGCATGGACCCCAGAGCCAGGCTGCTTAGTAGTGAATTCCATCCAGTGTGCTGCTAACTAGCTTGGTGACCTGGGGCAAGTTACATATCCTGTCAGCCATGGTTTCTCCTCTGTAGAGTGGAACCACAATGTCTGCATCATAAAATTGTTGTAAAGACAGGAAAAAAAGGCCGGATGTGCTGGGTCATGCCTGTAATCCCAGCACTTTTGGAGGCCGAGGCATGTGGAACGCTTGAGCCCAGGAGTTCGACACCAGCCTGGGCAATGTAGTGAGAAGTTGTTGGCTGAGGAGAGAGGCTGAGGTGGGAGGATCACTTGAATATGGGAGATTGAGGCTGCAGTGAGCTATGTTCGCATCACTGCACTCCAGCCTGGGTGACAGAGCAAGGCCGTATCTCAGGAAAAAAAAAAAAAAAAAAAAAGAAAGAAAGAAAAGAAAGAAAGGAAAGAAAAGAAAGAGAAAAAAAGAGGGGATGCATGTTCCTGGCAGTGCCTGGCTCCTGGTGAGGTAGCTCACCTCATTAGCTACTGAATCATGGACTCTGCCTTGATTCTCAAACCTAGAAATCAGAATCGCCTTAGGAACTTGTCAAAAATCTCGAACCTCAGGCTCCAATCCCCAGAGATTCTGGTTCAGTGAATATGGGGTCCTGGAAAGGGTATTTTAAAAAGCTCCCAAGTGACTCTTTCCTAGTCTATGGACAACCTCTGGGAATCTCAGATCCACGAGCACTCCCTGAAACACCCTGGTGATAGGCGCTCTCTACCTCCCATGGCAACCCCTGTCCTATCTTTGGAGAGCTCTGCTTGACTCACTGTTTTGTTCTTCTGCCATCTTCCTTATGGTGGGGAAGTCCTTCTGGATGTTTCACTTTCCTCTGCCCTATTGTCTCAGCCCAAGGATGGAGAGAAGTGGCAGCAGGTTTTCCCTCCTCTCGAGAGGGTTTTCTGTACAGGCTGTGAGAATGGAAAGGTGCCCATGGGGCTAGGAAGTGGTGGAGCATCTCTTCTCCCAGGGTTTCTGCCTTCTTGGCAGGCAGCAACCCCCAGGATCCCTGCCCTGCCTCCCTTCATTTGGACCCCGTTCCACCTCCTTACTGGCACCTCACTGGTGTCCCCCCGGCACCATGGCCACCCCCTACTCTTCATCATTGCTGGCTGCCTCATGCTGCCTGAATTCTGTAGCCCCTCATCCGCACCAGCCTGGCAACCACTGACCTTTTAGTTGCCAGGCAACCCCATGACCACCAGACCAGACCTGGTTCCCCACACTGCTGCAGAGCTCCCCGCCCTTCAGCTGGGATGAAGGTGAGACAGAGGGGTGTGGGCTGGCACTGGTGGTCAGCCTAGAGCTGAGCCATAGCCTCTCGGTCACAAGCACAAGTGGCCCCTCCCTGCTGCCCCCGGCCCGTTTCTGTGCTGCCTTCCTCCTGCCAAGACCCGCGCCCGCCCAGTGGTCAAGGCATTGTGCTTGAGAGGGGAAGCTTCCTGATCCTCACATCTGATCTATTATGGTCCCCAAACCCTCAAGACCACCTTGGGGACAGCTGGGCATACTGCCCATCAGAAGAAGACGCTCTCCCTTTAAGAGTGCTAATCCAATTGGAACATTAAATTGAGTTAATATGAAGATGGAGATTAATTAGGGGTAAATCAGGAATTGGGAAGAGAGGGAGCTGAAGAGGAGAATAAATCATTCCTTTTTAGAGATATTTTATTGTTGTCTTTTTTTAATTATAAAAGGAATCTATTCACACAGTTTTGTAGAGAAATCTATAAAGTCAAAAAAGGAAACTGTCAACCCTGAGATAACCAGTGTTAATGGTTTTGAGTGATTTGTTGTTAAAAATAGACAATTTGTTTTACAAAAAAATATAATTGGGCAACATTATTTCTTGACAGTATATGTATATGTAATACATATGTGTATATAATGCACATAACATGGAAAGATGTAGATCGGATTCATTATCTCACTCCTTGTACCAGTTTCTGTACAACCACCAGATTTCTTGCCCAGGGACTAGGGCAGAATGTCAGGGGCTGTGGTCCTGAGTGACATCCCCAGGTTTCAGCCAAAAGTAGGCTCTTAAAGTGTGGTTGAAATAATCCTGACTCCTCCTCCCCCACGGAGAGAGCCATCAAGCTATCCTGTGACATCCTTCCCTACCCCCAGCCAGATATCAGCCTCAGCTACAGCTTCAGAGAAGTGGCTGCTGTCTCTCAGAGGGTCCTGGGGGAGGTTGGCTGGCTGTGTGGCAGCATGTGCCTTGCAAGCAGGGGCTGAGGCCTGGCACATGTGTCATGTGTGCATGTGTGTCACATCAGACTTAACATGTGCATTGTGGGCACTGGGCAGGTCATCTCAAATCCAGGTCCAGCTGGCTTTGAGAAGTTTGGGATAGTTTTCTCAGTCACCCTAAATCAAGGACATTCCCTCTGTCCAGCTCTGTCAGGGTCTGCATCCCCTCAAAGCTGGGATCCTGGGGTCCCAGCTCTCTTTGCTTTCTCCCTGGGCCCTGCTTCCCACCCCACCCCCACCCTCTGAACTCCATGAAGAATAAATTATCTGCTCACAAACCCACCACTTAATTAATGTCTGGAACTAATGCCCCAATTTGCTCAACTATTCTGCTGCTCACCTCGGTAACAAATTTGTGTTGTTGTTGTTCTTCGGAAGCCTGAAATAGCAGCCGTGCCCATGGCTCCCACTCACATGGCCTCTTGTCTGTCTTCCCAGGGTGAGGGGTCCTTTGCCCACTCCTTACCTGCCAGGTGTCCCAGGGAGGCCAAGGCCGGGGGAGACTGGGGAACTCTCTTGTGGCCATGCCAGGAGTCTGTAATCTGTTTGGGTGTCACTGGCTGGCAGGACCTTCCCAGGCCTGGATATGGGCAGTGACAGGGGATGCTCATCCTTGATTCCTCTCGCCCTGCCCGGCCCCTGCAGACCCGCAGCTCACGCCACACTCAGGGAGCCCAGCCCGGGCTGGCAGACCAGGCGGCAAAGCTGTCCTACGCCTCGGCCGAGTCGCTGGAGACCATGTCGGAGGCCGAGCTGCCCCTGGGTTTCAGCAGGATGAACCGCTTCCGACAAAGCCTGCCTCTCTCCCGCTCGGCCAGCCAGACCAAGCTGCGCTCCCCAGGTACTGCCGGCTCGGTCCACCCTCCCTCCCGGCACAGGCTCCTCCCTCTGCTCTTCACTCTCTGGAGCCCCCTCCTCCCCTGCAGCATGCCAGCTCGCCTCAAGCTCTGCTCTCTCTCCCTCAGCAACCCCAGCTCTCTCCATTTCTCTCTTGCCCTCAGCATCCCCACCCAACCCCTTTTCCTCCAAGCCTCCTCTCTCCCTCCTGCTTCCTTTTCTGTCCGTTTCTTTCATCCCTCCCTTCTCTCCCATCTCCCTTCTCTAACTCTCTCCAACCTCTCTCTCCATCAGCTCACTTTCTCTCAGTTTCCATCCCACCTGCTCCTACCCCTACTTCCATTTTCTTGTCCAAATTTCTCCAACTGCCTGGAGTCCAGTGAGTGCCTTGAGAGGCTGGAGACCCGGCCTGGCGCCCCCGCCGGCAGCATGAGAGGTGCCTGGGTGCACCTGCACTCGGGGGCGGCGTCTGGCCTCAGACCCTGCCGCTGCGGGGCTGGCGCAGCTCCCGAAAGCTCCTCGCGTTCTCCTGGAGGGCGGCGTGGAGACGGCGGCAGTGACAGCGAGAGCGGTGTCTCCTTCGCAGGGGTGCTGTTCCTGCAGTTCGGGGAGGAGACTCGGCGCGTGCACATCACGCACGAGGTCAGCAGCCTGGACACGCTGCACGCACTCATCGCGCATATGTTCCCGCAGAAGCTCACCATGGGCATGCTTAAGTCGCCCAATACCGCCATCCTCATCAAAGACGAGGCTCGCAACGTCTTCTACGAGCTGGAGGACGTCCGGTGGGCGTAGCCCCAGGGGGATGCGGGAGGGCTTTCCCACACTCCTCCTCTGCCGGGTGCTGGACCCCGCCGGCCCTTCCCCAGCTCCTTCCTGACCCGATCTCAGCCTTTCCCCTCCCCTCCCAGAGCCCTACCGCCCTGCCCCCTTCCTGGGCCATCTCAGCCCCACCCCCTCTCTAAATCATCCACCCCTGCTGGTTCCCTTTGCTTTGAGCTAACCTGAAAATGGCGCCTGAGACCAGGACGAGGCCGGGGTGGAGGCTGCTGGGCGTGTGTGCTTGTGGCAGGCAGCCTGAGCGAAGGATTTAGGAAAGAGTTGGGGCTCCCGGTGCCTCTGGCCACCCCTCTTCTCTTGGCCTGGAGAAGCCACCCCTTCTCATTGTGCACGGCTGGGAGATGGGTGGTGACCCCCGTCCCCCCGCCTCTCCCAGGGACATCCAGGACCGCAGTATAATCAAGATCTATAGGAAGGAGCCCCTCTACGCTGCCTTCCCTGGCTCACACCTCACCAACGGGGACCTCCGGGTATGGCTGGGCATGCCCAGGGCATTGGGGAGGCTGGGCACATGGGGTCCAGGGGAGCAGGGTCTGGGAAGTTGTCATCTGGAACCAGGGCCAGTTTTGGAGAAGGGAGCATAGGGGCTGAAGGGTTAGGGAAGAGCCCCTCTCCCACCTGCTACTTTCCTCTCCATTCCCGGCCTGTCCACTTGGGATTTTGCTAATTTGCCTCCAGATATTCTAAGGCCTCTCTCAGGAGCTGGAGCCACCGCTTCCCCTTCTACTTCCCACCCCTCACGGTAGCTGAGCTGAAGGTTACCCCTCTGGTGCCTCTTCATCAGCCACCTTTTCCGCCATGCTGGAAACCCTGATGGGAAAGGGGCCCTAGACGCAGCAGGATGGAGGGAGGGCTGAGACCTGAAGGGACTTCCTAAGCGTCAGGGAGGAGATGCTGGCTGCTCAAGCAAGGGGCAGGGGTGTCTTTGGTGACCAGCCCCGTGGGGTTCCGGGCTGTCTTCTGCGCAGAGAGAGATGGTGTACGCGTCGCGGGAGTCGTCGCCCACGCGGCGCCTCAACAATCTGTCGCCAGCGCCGCACCTGGCGTCCGGCTCGCCGCCGCCCGGGCTGCCGTCGGGGCTGCCATCCGGGCTGCAGTCCGGCTCGCCGTCGCGCTCGCGTCTCTCGTACGCCGGGGGGCGCCCGCCCTCGTACGCCGGCAGCCCGGTGCACCACGCGGCCGAAAGGCTGGGAGGCGCCCCGCCCGCCCAGGGCGTCAGCCCCAGCCCCAGCGCCATCCTGGAGCGGCGCGACGTGAAGCCGGACGAGGACCTGGCGGGCAAGGCGGGCGGCATGGTGCTGGTGAAGGGCGAGGGTCTCTATGCAGACCCCTACGGGTTACTGCACGAGGGCCGTCTGAGCCTGGCCGCGGCCGCCGGCGACCCGTTCGCCTACCCGGGAGCTGGCGGCCTCTACAAGCGCGGCTCAGTGCGCTCGCTAAGCACCTACTCGGCCGCCGCTCTGCAGTCCGATCTGGAGGACTCCCTGTACAAGGCTGCGGGCGGCGGCGGCGGCCCGCTGTACGGCGACGGCTACGGCTTCCGCCTGCCGCCCTCGTCACCGCAGAAGCTGGCCGACGTGGCAGGGCCCCCCGGAGGCCCCCCGCCGCCGCACAGCCCCTACTCGGGGCCGCCCAGCCGCGGCTCGCCAGTGCGCCAGTCCTTCCGCAAGGACTCGGGCTCCTCGTCCGTCTTCGCCGAGAGTCCTGGAGGGAAGACCCGCAGCGCGGGGAGCGCCTCGACAGCCGGAGCTCCCCCTTCGGAGCTCTTCCCTGGGCCTGGGGAGCGCTCGCTGGTGGGGTTCGGGCCGCCAGTGCCAGCCAAGGACACGGAGACCAGGTGAGGGACGTTAATCAGGCTTCAGGGACTGGGGGTGGGGGGTGCGCTGCGGAGAGGGTGCACGGCAGAGTCCGTGGCAGGTGTGTGTCCTGGACTGAGATCCCGGAGTCCTTTGGAGACCTTGAGTAGTCTTGAAGGGTCGCCAGAAAGCATCTTGGATGTGGCAGGGAGGGCATTGGAAAGACCAGCTTGTCATTTTCCTCCCATCCGCAAGACTCAAGGGGGTAGTTGAGAGGTCCCCAGACGAGGACTCTGGAGACTTGTGTTTGCATCCATTTTCTAAGCTTCGGTTTCCCCAACTGTAAAATTGAGAGGCTGAACCACTTTTAGTGGCTTTCCAGCTTAAGAGTTTGCAGCAGTGAGAGCTGTCCAGCACCGGGACAGCTGAAGTCCACTGGGGAGGAAGGTGCTATTGAGAAATGGCGACGGGGAAAGGAGCACATTCGGGTACCTAGCCTCCAGGCTGAGGAGCCCCTGCCCATTGCTCAGTCCCCTCCTAAGGGTGCAGGGCTGGAGGAGGTAACCAGGGCAGTAGGTAACCTGCGCCCTCAGGCAGCGCTGCTGAGCAGTGAGAAGCCATTGGCCTTCACACAGCTCTTACGTGGCCTGTGTGCCAGGCACTGCACACGCTACTGTCAGTGCCAAGCTGGGCAAACCCAGTTCCTGTCCTGGTCTAGTGGGGAGACACTCAACATACCTCCACTTCCCTTGGGTGGTGTGGAAGGAGGGGTTCCTCGGGGCTCCTGGGGTCTGTGGAATGTTTTTGGGAGGGGGTCAGGAGAAAGGCAGAGCAGGCAGGGGAAAGCATTGCCAGGCATGGAGAGATCAGCGTGCAGCCTTTAGGGAGGGAGTGAAAGGTGAGATGGGAGGCTTTGGACCTGATCCTTAGGCTTGGGGCCCTTTGGGTTGTCTGTGTTTTGGTAGCCAGGGATGGGACAGTGTTTCTTCTGGTTACCAATTTAGGAATGGGGGGCTGGGCAGGAGAGACCCTATGCTCAGAGGCGAGGTTGCCCAGACCCCCTTCCTCCCCAGGGAGCGCATGGAGGCTATGGAGAAGCAGATTGCCAGCCTCACAGGCCTGGTGCAGAGCGCCTTACTTCGAGGCTCTGAGCCTGAGACCCCCAGGTGAGGCCCCTCTCCCAACACCACTGCCAGGGCCTGGGGGTGGAGCAGGAGGAAGGGGAAATGGGCATCAGCTCTGCCAGTGTCTCACTGGGTGACCCTGGGTGAATCCCTTCCCTTCTCTGGGACTCTATCCTGACATCAGAGAGCTGGAGGAGATGCCATCTAAGGTCCCACCCAGCTCTGGAGGTCTGGGGCTGGCCTGGACCCCCTAATGGCTTTTTTCCCTGTGCCACAGTGAGAAGATTGAAGGCTCCAACGGAGCAGCTACCCCCTCAGCACGTGAGTGACCCTCCCCCTCCCCCATCCTTGTTCTCTCAGAGGCTGCTTCCTAATCTATAAAGTGGGGATTAAGCAATAGCTACATCACTAGCCTTAGCCCAAGAGGTCTTTGCCCTGGCACTTTGGTCCCCACCCTTAGGGCTGGCCACTTGGGGCAGGTAGTCAGAGCCACGGGGTTCTCTGGCTGTGTGGTGGAGAGTAGGGAGGACGCTGTCCCAGCCCAGTCCTTCCCAGGCTCACAGTTTGTTCACTCTCTCCCATCCTCGTGGTCCTCTGCAGCCTGTGGGTCAGGCGGCCGGAGCAGCGGGGCCACCCCTGTGTCCGGCCCGCCCCCGACCTCGGCCAGCAGCACCCCTGCAGGGCAGCCTACCGCCGTTAGTCGGCTACAGATGCAGCTTCACCTGCGAGGCCTGCAGAACAGCGCCAGTGACTTGCGCGGCCAGCTCCAGCAGCTGCGCAAGCTCCAGGTACCGCCCCGTCCCGGGCATCGCCCCACCAACGCCCACCTACTGGTCGAAGCCCCTTGCCACAAGTCCTGTCCCATCCCCTACTACCTCATCCTTTTCCTAGAGCTCCCACGCCCGAGTCCTTCGCCACTCACTGGTCTCTCTCCGAACCCTTTCTCCCCTTCCCCTTTCTTGAGCTTCTGCCCCCTCGCTGAACCTCCGCTTCCTCATCAAGGCCCTACCCCTCGCCCGTATCCCCCTCATTGAGCCCTCCTTCTCCTTCCCTGAGTCCCCATCGCCCTCCTGGAGCCCCAGTCACCCACTGAGCCCCTCCTTCGTCAGTATCCCTCGGGGCAGTTCCAGTTCCTTCCTGCCCTGCAACCCTTTCTCTAAGTCAGCGAGAGCCCTTCCCCCAAGTCCCCTCAGCAACTCCCTCCTGAGCCCTGACAGTCTCCCCCGGCCCTGCCTGGCAGATGGTCACACCTGTCAGGAGCTTGGCATCGCCGTGTCCGCTCCTCAAGCGGGCCCAGGGCCCGTCAGGTGAGGATAATGAGCAGAGACAGGCTGGGGAGGGGGCAGAGAATTGCCATCTGGGCAAAGGATAAGATCTCGCCCACCCCCGCCATTCAGGCTTGGAACTGGGTTGGATCAATGGTTAACTTAGTCTTCCTGTCCCAGCCGTGGAAACTCTATCAAATGCCAGCGCTTGAGTCCTTCATTCCAGTCCCGTCCCCATTCCGGGATGATGGAAGCCACAACCATGCGGCCGCACTGTCGGCAGGGACCTACATAGGGCCACACCCTGTCGCGCAAATATTCCCAACCCCTTCTCCTGCCTCATATTCCCCAGAACTTAACCTTGCCCTCCTCCCCCTGCAATAACCACCCCGTCACTGCTGCTTGCGGCCACAGCCATGCAGTTGCCCCTTTGCATGGCCCATTTAAACGCTCCCCCCTCCACGATCCCCATCCGTTCTCCTCCTGCCTTCCCTAGAACTTAGCCCTCTGCCCCTGCCCTTCGCCATCCCACCCCTTCGCTGCTGCCTGAGGCGGAGCCAAGCAGCTGCATCTTCTGCTGAGCCCCGCCCTGGATTGGGCAATCCTCTTCCCGCCTTCTCCCGTCCCTTCCCCTGCCGCGCGCCTCCGCTCCCCCCACCCGGGTCCATCCGTCCGTGCGTCCCGCAGCTGCAGAACCAGGAGTCGGTGCGCGCGCTGCTGAAGCGCACGGAGGCAGAGCTGAGCATGCGCGTGTCGGAGGCGGCGCGGCGGCAGGAGGACCCGCTGCAGCGGCAGCGCACCCTGGTGGAGGAGGAGCGGCTGCGCTATCTCAACGACGAGGAACTTATTACCCAGCAGCTCAAGTGAGGCTGGGCCCGCGGGGGAGGGAGAGGTGGGGGTGCGGCCGGAGTACCTGCCACCTGGTTTCCCTGGGAGGCGCAGCTCCCTTCCCTCGAGTCACAGGTGGCGTTGGTCTGTTCTGAAGCCTGATTTCCTTCTCTGGCCTGATTTCTGTGTGACCCACAAACCTTTGATCGGCTGGCATTATTCCTGATTTCTTTTTTCTGGCTTGATGCCTGCTTTGCTATGGTCTTGCTTCATAATGATCCACACTCAGGCTTCCTGTGGCCTGCAGCTTCACTGTCATCTGGCCAGCTGCCTGATTTCCCTCTGCCCTCTGCCTACTTTCATTCTGGCCTTTGACCCGTGCAAAGTGACCCTCGGGTAGTGCGTTCAGGTGGAGCGTTCAGGTGCCGCCACTGCTCCAGCCTAGCGCTGACCAGCCACCATTGGATATCTGATTCCCTGATCTCTGAGTCCAGATATAGCCAAGGAAAACCCACCTTCCTTCCTAGTGCAGCTGGAACAGGGCTGAAGTGTTTTCAGAAGGAAGGAGGAATTGTGAACACTCCGCCTCCACATGCTTAGGCATGGAGGGGTTAACAGAAGACAGTCTTCTGATCCAAATTTAGCAAATGGCTGTCTGGCCAACCATTCCATTGTCTGGCACCTTTGAAGGGAGATGCTGCCTTTCAGTGTCCATTCAGGGAGTGAGCACCCCCACCCTGCTTTCCCTCGACAGTGATAGGGATCTGAGACAAGAGGCCCTGCTCCTTCCTGTGGACCCCCTCTTGGTGACACAAGGCACTAGGGGACCTGGAGTCCAGTGCCAGCCCTGAGGTGCTGAGTGATCAGGGCAGTTCCTGCCCCTCTCTGTGTCCCAGTGTCCTCATCTGTACCCAGCATTAAGCTTTTCACCTCTCTTTTCAACAAGGGGTTGAGTTGTACTGGCTGGGGACTCCGGGAGCCAGGAGAGGCTGCTCCTTGGAGCCCAGCTTCCTCACTAAGTCATAAATGAGCCTCTTGCTAGGGGCTCCTTGAGATGAGTCGCTGCTCCTCAGTCTGGGGCCCACATAGCCTAGTGGTACATGTGCATTTCAGCAAGACCCAAGGCAACAATTCCCATGACACCATGTAGCTGAAATAGGGTAAGGGGCCTCCCCAAGGGGACATAAGCCAGGAGCAGCCACCCCATCACTCTAGGTGTGATAACTTAGTGATGACTCCAGCCAGATCTCCAAGCAGATTGGCAGGTACCATCTCTCCTCACCCAGGGAATTCCATTTCTCCAGATTTTCTATCCTTTCCTTGTCCCTTTTCATTCAGCCCAGAGGAGGGGGGTTGGAATATTCAAAAGGAATTTTACTGAGACATTAAAGGAAAATTAAAGGAGATCTAAAAGCACAGAGCTAGAAGATACGAAACGACAGATTTATGCCACTGTCATTATAAGTGTTTGGTCCTTGGCTCCCTGAGAACCTTGGTTCTCCAGGAACACAGACTCCACACCCCCTGCCCCATTATCAAACCCATTATTCAGGGAGCTTGGGACCTGCAGTACTGTTTCTGGCAGGATTCTCCATCCTCCTGAAAGAGCGCTCCTGCCTCTACTGGGTTGGGCAGATACTGGGCTCCAACTTGGCCATGAAGGCCCTCCCTGCCCAGCTCCCATAGCCTTCCCAGGCTTTAACCCTGCAGCCCCCCTACCCCACACTCTGACCATAACCCCTGCACACTTACTCTTGCTCCAATTTGCTATGCCCCTTCCTCTTTCCTGGCAACTTGCTGGAAGTTAAAACTGGTTCTGTTTCATTCAACTTGACTCACTCACCTGTTCATCTAGCCCAGCACTTAAGGTCTGTCTGGGCATTGCCTTTAGGTGCAGCCTCTGCTGACTGAGACCTTTTAGGTCCTGGAATCCACCTTTGCCTAACCCAGGGCGAGCTTTGTAGGTATGCCACCTGTGCAGTCATTCAGGGCCCCACGCTTGGAAGGGCCCCATGCTTGGTATAATGCTCTGCTGTTGCCATCTTGAAATTCTTAATAATTTTTAAACTAGAGGTGACATTTTCATTTTGCATTGGGCCCCATAAATTATTTAGCTGGTTCCATTTTGACTCTTCCCTGTTGACCCCTCCAGGACTAAATCTGGGTTTGGAAAGCCTAGCCACTTTTTCATCCAGTGTCTAGACTAGCTGGCCTGGGACTCATTTGCAGAACTTGCCCAGGTTAGAGGCCGCACAACTTTGGCAGATTGGATGATGAGAAAATCAAGTGGGGAGGCCTAGTCCCTCCTGCCTGAGAGTTGCAGTGTTGTCATCTCCTGAAGTCTTATTTGAGTCCTTTTTTTTTTTTTAATTATTATTATTATTATGCTTTAAGTTCTAGGGTACATGTGCATAACGTGCAGGTTTGTTACATATGTATACTTGTGCCATGTTGGTGTGCTGCACCCATCAACTCGTCAGCACCCATCAACTCGTCATTTACATCAGGTATAACTCCCAATGCAATCCCTCCCCCCTCCCCCCTCCCCATGATAGGCCCCGGTGAGTGATGTTCCCCTTCCTGAGTCCAAGTGATCTCATTGTTCAGTTCCCACCTATGAGTGAGAACATGCGGTGTTTGGTTTTCTGTTCTTGTGATAGTTTGCTGAGAATGATGGTTTCCAGCTTCATCCATGTCCCTACAAAGGACACAAACTCATCCTTTTTTATGGCTGCATAGTATTCCATGGTGTATATGTGCCACATTTTCTTAATCCAGTCTGTCACTGATGGACATTTGGGTTGATTCCAAGTCTTTGCTATTGTGAATAGTACCGCAATAAACATACGTGTGCATGTGTCTTTATAGCAGCATGATTTATAATCCTTTGGGTATATACCCAGTAATGGAATGGCTGGGTCATATGGTACATCTAGTTCTAGATCCTTGAGGAATCGCCATACTGTTTTCCATAATGGTTGAACTAGTTTACAATCCTTATTTGAGTCCTTTACATGACAGTCTCTTCCTCTTCTGAGTGATGTTTGGGAGTGACCATTTTATAAAACTGGCACAGCTTGGACCAGTCAGGTATCACACATATGAGCAGGGGAGTTATTCTTTCCCATGTGGTAGGGCGAGGGCTGGGCTAGGACAGTGTATGGATTGGGGGCAGCATGGGTGATGTTGGTGTAGTGTGGGAATGAGATGCAGCAGAACCAATGGCTGATGTCAGATGTGAATAGATCCTGCTCTGCCACAAAATGACCTTGGACTAACTAGTTAATCTCTTTGAATATCTTTTTTTCCTTTTTTTTTTTTTAAATGACAGAGTCTTAGTTAGGATAGCTAATTAATTAGGGTAGCTTGCTATAACAAATAAGCTCCCAAATTGTTTAATAATTCAAAAGTAATAAACATATCTTTCTCATGGAATAGTATTGGGTGTGTTAGGCGGGTGGCTCTCTTCTCCATGCAGTCATTCAGGGACTCAGGCCGATGGAGATTCTGCTGTCTTCAACATGTGTTTTCCAAGATCATCCAGAGAGTTCCAACTTACGAAAAAAGAAAAAGGAGCATGGAGGATCTTACACGGGAGGTTTTTGTGGGCCAGGTCTGGAAGCAGCATGTGCCCCTTCCACTCATCTTCCATTGGGTAGACTTCAGTTAAATGGCCACTTATCACTGCAAGGCGGGCTGGGATGTGTAGTCTAGGCTCTGAGCCACTGTTTGTCTGTGTGTAAGCTGGAGATGATAACTGTTCCCACCTCCAGGATTTGTTTTGAGGATTAATCAAAGTAATGAAAGCCAAGGCCTGAGTGTGGCACCTGGCATACAGTAAGTGCATAATACAGGATAGCTCTTTAACTGGTAGTGCTGCTAAGTCACAAGCTTTTGCCCTTGACTCCAACCCAGTCTGTCTTTTCACCTGTTAGTTGGATGAAGATGGGTAAGGTGTGCTGATAAGATTTGCTGATGACACAGAGCTTTAAGCGGGAGCAAATCTGTTGGATAATAGAACTGAAATTCAAAAGTTGTTTGCACCTAGATTGAGCTGAAATCCAATGGATGGGATTTGACAGGAATGTATATAAAGTTCCGCATTTGGGTCAGAGATGTCAGCGACTCAAGTACAGAACTGAGATGACCTACCTGGGCAGCAGTTCCTTCTCTCCCTTGTTCATTCATTCCACATTATTTCCCAGAAATCTACTCTGCACCAGGCACCATGCCAGGTGCTAGAAACCAGAGATGAATCTGGAAGACATGGTCCTTGCCTGCCTGGGGTTAGTAGTCCAGAAGGCTGCACAACCCAGCCAACAGGAGCTTCAGCGGTTTGGAGGGCAGGAAGCAGACCCAGCAACCACAAGGGGAAGGGCTGGAGGAGAGCTTCCCATTGAGACCTGAGGATCAGTGGGAGTTAGCACGTGTGTGTGCGTATGTGTATGAGTGAATGGAATATTCTAGGCAGAGAAAACAGCATTATAAAGAGCCAGAGAGGGCAGCACATGTAGCACCTCAGAGCAGTTCTGAAGGGTTCTAAGCAGAAGCCAGATGGGACGAGGGGTACAGCGGCACGGAAAACAAGAGCAGCTCCCAGGCACTGAGCCCTTGCCGCCTGCATTAGCTCATCCAATCCACCTGATGGCCCCCATGAAGGGGGAACTCTTTTCTTTTTTCTTTTTTTTGAGACAAAGTCCCACTGTGTTGCCCAGGCTGGAGTGCAGTGGCACGATCTCGGCCCGCTGCGACCTCCCGTCCTGGGTTCAAGTGATTCTCCTGCCTCAGCCTCCCAAGTAGCTGGGATTACAGCCACATGCCACCATGGCCGGCAAATTTTTGTATATTTAGTAGAGACAGGGTTTCGCCATATTGGCTAGTTGGTCTCGAACTCCTGACCTCAGGTGATCTGCCCGCCTCGGCCTCCCAAAGTGCTGGGGTTATAGGCATGAACCACCACACCTAGCAGGGAACTCTTACCATCCCTATTTTTTGGTCGAGGAGGTTGAAGTCCAGAGATATTAGGTAACTTGCCCAAGATCTCTCCTCTGGCAAGGGCAGAGCTGGGATTGGAGCTTAGATCAGTCTGACTCTAGAACCAAGTTTTCAACTACCATCTTCCTGCCTTTCTTGGCTGCACCGAAAAGTTTGGATGTTAGCCTCAGGATGATGGGATCCATTTAGGGTTCAATGGCAGGAGTGATGACCTGATCTGATTTACAGTTTAGAAGAGTATAGGGTCTTAAATGACACAAGTTCAGCATACACTAGCTGAAAATCTAAAGCAGCTTTGGCCCTCAGGAAAGAGACTGTGTGGCTGGATCATTTGGGAGAAGGGCAATGAACATGGCAGTTTCCCCCGAAACAAGAGACCTCCCCAGGGGCACGTGCTCTGCCTCTGGTTCTCTGAAAGGCAACCAATTTCTCTCTGCTTCCTCGGCAGAATAGAATCAGGGGATGCAAGTTACAATGAGAGATGCTGGGGCAGATATTGCTGAGGATCAGAGCTTCCAAGGGGGACAGATGGTGCAGGGCACCTCTTAGGGAGAGCTTCTGAAGTCTCCTCATCTCTGAGATTTGGCATTGCAGATTTTACTTGAGCATGTGGTTGGTAGCTGGCTTTTATGTTTGTTTGTTTTTGAGACAAGGTCTCCCTCTGTCACTTAGGCTAGAGTGCAGTGGCACAATCACGGCTCACTGCAGCCTCAACCTCTCAGACTCAAGCGATCCCCCTGCCTTAGCCTCCCCAGTAGCTGGGATTACAGGCACCTGCCACTACACCCAGCTAATTATTTTATTTTTTTGCAGAGACGAGGTCTCCCTATGTTGCCCAGGCCGGTCTTGAACTCCTGGGCTCAAGAGATCTGCCTGCCTCAGCCTCCCAAAGTACTGGGATTACGAGCATGAGCCACCACGCCCAGCCTCCTGCTTTTACTTTTGATCCAACTGGTGGCCTGATTTCTTTCCAGCTGCCCAATTTCAGGGAGCTGGGCTGGCATCTCAGGCCAAAAGAGCTGAGAGGGTCTCTCTGTGGCTGCAGTGACCTGGAGAAATCGGTGGAGAAGATCCAGAGGGACGTGTCCCACAACCACCGGTTGGTTCCTGGCCCCGAGCTGGAGGAGAAGGCACTGCTGCTGAAGCAGCTCGGGGAGACGCTGACGGAGCTCAAGGGTGGGTCTGGGGCCTGCGAATGCAGCATGTTGTCCAGGGCGGGGGAGTCTGCCATATTCCAGCCACCATCCCCTCCTCCCAGTCTGCGGTGCTCTCTCTGGCCCCGGCTCATACCTTCCTGTCTCCGAAGCTCACTTCCCGGGCCTGCAGAGCAAGATGCGGGTGGTGCTGCGCGTGGAGGTGGAGGCGGTGAAGTTCCTGAAGGAGGAGCCCCAGCGCCTGGATGGGCTCCTCAAGCGCTGCCGCGGGGTCACGGACACACTGGCCCAGATCCGAAGGTCATTCTGTCCCTGACCTCTGATTTCCCATGGGGTCACACACTGGGCCCAGACCCATAGGTCAGACTGAACCCTTACCCCAGCTCCCCCAAAGGTCACTGACGTGCCGACTGAACTGGCATCTCAGCTCTGCCTTGTGACCCCTGCATGCTGTAGACCTGGCTTCCTCTTATACCAGGGGCAGTCACTCCTCCCCAGGCCCTCCCACCTCTCCTGCAGCATCCCAGGATGCTGCCTCCCACCCCTTCTCCCTCAGGCCAGCCTTCCCGCAGAAGGGTCATCACCTGCTGGCCTCACAGCTGCTCCCAACTCTCCCAACCCCAGGCAAGTGGATGAGGGTGTGTGGCCACCCCCCAACAATCTCCTGAGTCAGTCCCCAAAGAAGGTGACGGCAGAGACTGACTTCAACAAGAGCGTGGACTTCGAAATGCCACCCCCCAGCCCCCCACTGAACCTGCATGAGCTGAGCGGACCAGCTGAAGGAGCCTCTCTTACCCCTAAGGGGAGCAACCCCACCAAAGGCTTGGACACTCCTGGCAAGAGAAGTGTGGACAAGGCTGTGTCTGTTGAGGTGCTGGGGCCAGGGATTGTGGGTGGGGCCGTGAGCCAGGTTCACACATTCTTACCATCCTTCCTAGGGTGGGGAGTGCCAGTCATATGGGTCTTTTTCCTTGGTGGAGGAGGGCCAGTGCCCTAATGGAAGTCTAACAGGCATAATGAGGGTGACATTAGCCCTTCTAGACAGAAAGCATATTATGAAGCTATAATAATCAAAGCATTATGATGTTTGCCCAAGAATAGACTATTTAGTCAGTGAAATAATAGAATGCCCAGAAATAGATCTAAGTTTATCATGAATGTAGTATATAATGAGGATGGCATTCCTACCCATGGGGATGCCATGTCATACCCACAAGAAGTCAAAGAGTTTTCCTGGAGGTGGGATCAAATATGAGGCTTCCTTTTCTATTCCTTGCCTCTGTGGCTTGGGGGAGGAGGCTGAGGCCCCAGAGTTCCTGGAGCGGGAGAGCTACCTTGGTCCTGACTCCTGGCTCCCTCTTAAGGCTGCAGAGCGAGACTGGGAGGAGAAGCGGGCAGCCCTGACCCAGTATAGTGCCAAGGACATCAACCGGCTGCTGGAAGAGACACAGGCAGAGCTGCTCAAGGCCATCCCTGACCTGGACTGTGCCAGCAAGGCCCATCCAGGCCCAGCTCCCACTCCAGACCACAAGCCCCCCAAGGCCCCCCACGGCCAGAAGGCAGCCCCCCGAACGGAGCCCAGCGGGAGGAGGGGCTCAGGTATGGGGAGTAGTAGGGCTGGTGAGGAGCCCAGTGTCGGGGAGTGCCCTCCTCGGGAGCTCAGGCTGATGGGGGAGGCACTGGGGACTCAAGATCATTGTGGCCGGGCTGCCAGACAAGGGAGGCCCTGGGACATCAGCGGCCACTAAAGGGAGACTGGGACCCAGAAGGACAGGGTGAGCTGGATTCCATCCCGGCTTTTCCCACTGTCCTGGGAAGGGAGCCGCTGAGAGGACCAGGCAGGGAGGACAAGCAAGTCCAGGCAGAGTCATCCGCCTCCACGACTTGGCTGGGTGCATGCCACAAACCAGGCTGTGTTGAGGGTGGGTTCCAACGCTGATACTGACACAGTTCCCATGGTCCCCAGCCTGAGTCACGGTCCCGGGGTAGGCAGAAATCCAGACCAGAAGTGGCAGTCATCATTCCTTCATTTTATTCATTCCTGCAATGTATATTTGTTAAGCACCTACTGTGGGCTAGGTGCTAGAGATATGGAAATAAGACAGGGCTTGCTTTCAAAGAGCTCAGAATTTAGTGGGGGAAATAACACTGACATTTGTGTGTATCAAGCACTTGCTCTGTGATAAGAACTGTTCCATTGTTTTTAATGTATTCATCCTTACAGTTTTATAACAAGCCCAGGAGGCAGATACGGTAGTTATTCCCATTTTACAGAGGAGGACATAGGCTCAAAATGATTAAGTAATCTGTGCCGGGCCATGCCTAGTATGTAAACCAGAAATAGAATGCAGATGTTAAAGGCAGTAGCAGAGGTGAATGCTGGCACTGTGCAGTCCTGGTGGAGGCCCTAGGAGGGCAGGAAGGCTTCCCTGAAGAGGTGACTTTTCACTGAAGTCTTGCAAATGAGTGGGCACTTCCCCAGCCAGTGAGAGAGGGTACTCCAGGGTGAGGGAACAGTGTGTGCAAACGCCTGGAGGGGGGTGTGTGTGTGTGTGTGGTGCGGCCTGAACAGGGTCCAACCTGGGGAGCAGCAGGCAGAGCTGAGGTTGAAAGCCTGGTAGGTGCAGAGGTGCTGGCCTAAGGAGCTTGGACATGGTTTGGGGTGATGGGGAGCCACTGCAAGATCAAAGGCAGGGGCATGTCATGGTTAGAGTGACCTCTCTGCAGGTTACCCTGGAAACAGGGCTGGAGGACTAATTGGGGGAAAGGAGAGCCCAGTGGGAGGGGCCAGGATCCCTGGAGGAGAGATGGAGAGCTGAGCCAGGGCAAGGGTGAGGGGCAATGGGAAAGAGGTCGTTAGAACAGCGCCTCTCTAACTTGAATGTGCGTCCGTCACCCCAGGATCTGTTCAACCAGATCCTGATTTAGCAGCCCAGGAGCGGGGCCTGAGCTGCAGTTCTGACAAGCTTCCAGGCGCTGCCAGCACTGCTGGTCCACAGACCACACTTGGAGTAGCAAGAGTGCTGTCAGGAGAGGGCAGAGCTTGGGGCTGGCGTGCAGGAGGAGAAGAGAGAAGGAGGGGCCTGTGTTCTTGCCCCCAGGCTTTCTTCTCACTTCCTCCTGATCCTCCCTGGAGGAGGAAGCAAGGTTTATCCCCTTCAAGTTAAATGTAGTGCACTGACTCCAGAGTTGCAGGCCCGCTGACCCCCGGCCCCTTGGTGCCTGCAGATGAGTTGACAGTGCCCCGATACCGCACAGAGAAGCCCTCCAAGTCACCCCCGCCGCCCCCTCCCCGCCGGAGCTTCCCCTCCTCCCACGGCCTGACCACCACACGCACTGGAGAGGTGGTGGTCACCAGCAAGAAGGACTCGGCCTTCATCAAGGTACCACTCCCACCTCAGACAGAGGGCCGGGGGACTGAGTTAGGATGAATCCTCAGATGACTTCTGGAGACCCTCTGGGGTGGGAAAGAGACCCCTTTCTCAGAGAACATGGAAGGAAGGAGGGGGTAGCCGGTGGCAACTTTGTCCTGCTAGTTTGGGATTCCGGGTATGTGTATTTGCCTTAATTCCATGCTAGGCCCCTGTCCGTTGAGGGACACCATGGGGCCTGGGAGGTGAGCTGGTGCTGAAGCCGGGCAGAGCCTGGCCTTGACAGGGGTCCCGGGCTTTGCAGAAGGCCGAGTCTGAGGAGTTGGAGGTGCAGAAGCCCCAGGTGAAGCTGCGCCGGGCCGTGTCGGAGGTGGCCCGCCCGGCCTCCACACCACCCATCATGGCCTCGGCCATCAAGGACGAGGATGACGAGGATCGCATCATTGCAGAGCTAGAGGTAGGTCAGGGCACACCTGGCCCCCAAGGTCTCAGCCAGGCCCCCTTCCCTGCCAGGCTGCCCCCAGGCCAGGTGACAGGATGAGACAGAAGATGGGCTCTCGGGCTCCCTGTGGAGCGCTGGCTGTTCAGACCTCAGGCTTTTGCCTCCATTTCTTCTCCACTGTGAAATGAGGGGTGGGGGTCTAAAGTCTTCTCTCCTTACAGATTTGAGTTTTTTAATTGTAGTCTCTGAGTCCCCCCAAGTATCCCCAGACCTCCTGCACTCTGAAAACCCCATATCCTAAGATTCGGAGATCACCAAGTTTGGAGACCCCCATCCCCGAGTGTTCCGAGATCAGCTCATGCTTGAGACCCCATACTTGAGTATTCTGAGGACAGAACTCTGAGACTCTCATGCCCCATGCCTCGACTCTCCCAGCGGTGTCAGTCACCACACTTAAGCGTTCTCAGCCACCCCCAGCCCCAGTGCGGGGCCTCTGGAGGTGACCAGATGAGGGCAGAGAGGGCCGGCGGCCGTGGCAAGGGACCATGGGGTGAGGCTGGGGGCTGACGCCATCCCAGGCCACACTCCTCAAGGATGCCGAGGCCACAGGCCAGCACCCCCGTCCTCCCTGGTATCCCCTCCTCCAAACCTGCCCCCACCTTCTGCTCCCCAGGTGTTTGAGAGAACCTCAGTGTCTTCCCTCCCCCCCACGCCCCGCCGCCAGCTGATCCCCACCTTGCTGTCCCCCCAGGACCTGGGGCCCCCCGGGGGCTCAGCCCCAGGCCCTACACGGAAGGTAACGGGGCTGCTCCCACTTCTCCCAGCTCTCTCTCTGCCTGTGCCCCCACAGCTTCCTCTCCTCACCTCCCACGCTAACCCGCTAAAACGCCAGTCACCGTCCCGAGTCCCGCCACCGCCACAGCCACAGCCACTGCCACAGCGTTACACGTGGACTCACCCCTCCCCCACTCCAAGGACAGGCGCATAACCCTTCCTCCCTGCTGCCTGCTGGGGGGCTCCCCAAGACTCCAGCAGCCTGGGTGTCTGGTGGCCCCTTGAGAAAATGGTCTGCATTTTCTCACGGGCTTGCTGATGGAAGCCTGAGTATTTTGTTCTGGTTCGCAGTCTGAGCTTAGGTCTGGCCTGAAGGCTGAGTGTGGTCTTGGACTAAGATTGGAGTTTGGATCTTGCTCACAGGATGACTTTGGGTCCAACTCAAAATCTGACCTTGTCCTGAGCCCTTGCCTAGCCCCCACCTCCATCTTTGCTGCTCTGCTGCCTGTGCCAGGGGGGCTCTGTTTTTCCCACTAGAATCTATGCCTCGCGCTGGGGGCCAGGACGCCACAGGGGTAGGCTCTTCTACAGCCTCACCAGCCCGTGGCCCACGTTGCTCTCTTGGACAGAGAGTCTGGGATGGAAGAAAGCCATGCCATTCCTTGGCTGCTGGTTCTTTTGGCATTGGGAAGTTCTTCCTTCTCTCTAACTTCAGTCCTTGCTGCTGTCCTGCTGCACTTATTTCCTCTTTATTCTTTCCTGGGAATTTGGGGGTGAACCTGCTGTCTGCACCCCACCCCTGGGGGCTGTATTTGGGGAGGAGGGGAGGGGGAAGGTCTGGGAATCTCTCTCTCTGCCAGGTCAGGTTAAGGCAGGGGGGCCTCCGCTCTGGGGAAGGAGAGCCTCCCATGTGCGCACATTCCCTGTCTGGGGCTCCCTGCCGCACAGCGGGCTCAGTGCTGATGGCCACCTGATTTCTGGCCTGGCTGGAGGCCTGGTGGTGCTTTGGTTTCCTGGTAGGGGAGGAGCAGAGGGACATCAGATAGTGGGCAGTGCCTTCTGCTGGGCAGGGGATGGGCACAGAGCAGTGTGAGGAACCTCTAGGACGAGCTCTATGGAAGGGGCGCCTCCTGGACTGGCCGTGCCCTTGGCACTTTGGCCCCTCCCATCCAAGCCCTGCCCCTTTCTGGCTCTGGGAGCCCATCCTCAGGGGCCCAGTGGACAAGGCCTTTTGCCCCTGGCTGACCCTCTGCATCCTGCGGCAGCATCGGGCTGTGGAGCCGGGCGAGCATGAGGTCGCCCTCTCTGCCTCCCCAGTCAGCACCCCCCGCTTCCAGGTAAGCAGGTGGCAAGGCTGGGTGGGTTCCTTTGGGAGGGGGTGGTTGGGGGTCCCTGCTGCCCCCTCCCGTCTCCCCACGGCTCCCTTTAGTGGAAGGAGCACTGGCCTTGGAGTCAGACTATCTGGGTTCAAATCCAGGCTCTGCCACTAACTAGCTGTGGGTGGCCTTGGGTGAAGCATGTAACCTGCCTCGCCCTGGTGAGAGCAGCAGTCACTTCACGGGTTAAGGTAGGCACTGAAGGTGAGGAAGGATGTGATGGCACCTGGCACAAGCCTGGTGCTCAGAGTTAGACCAGGATTCACTCATGTCGGGGAGTGGTACTTGGGGCTTCCCTCTGTGCCCTCACCGAGGCCAGGGCCAGGGATGCTGGCACCGGAGCAGGTACCCAAGGGAGCTTTGCCCGAGTGTGTGTGCAGCAGAGGATTTGGCAGGGGGCAAGCCCCACCCCTTCCAGCTGTGAAGCTCTTGGGGAGACCACACAAAGCTAGGGTTGGCCAGAAGTCTCTGGTTTGAGATGCCAGAGGCTGACATGTGGTCTCTGCCCACACGGGGCCGAAGGTTTCCATCATTCCATTCATTTCAACAAATAACTAATATTTATGAAGCACTCACAACATGCCCAGCGAGCTCACTTCATCCTCCACCGGCCCCACCTTGTTGTGGAGTCATTGCACAGATGGGCACACTCCTGGGAGCAACCCTGAGACCGGCTCCCGGAGGCTCACGTGGGTGGTGTGAAATAAACGTGTGCCTGCCCTGGCCAAACTGGCACCTTTACTGGAAAGTAGGAGGCCGTGGGGTATGATGGGAAAGACCTGAATTCTGGTCCCAATTTTGCCTCCAACTTACTGGGTAGCCTCTGTCAGGACCCTCCCTGCCTCAGTTTCCCCATCTGTAAAAGAAAGCGGCTAGGCTCACCTAACTGTAACCCCCATTTTAGCTTGGGGTTTGGTTGTAGGAATCATACTCTTCCTCATCTTCCTTCTCCCCGCAGGCTGCCCCAGGTCCCAGGGCTTTCTGCGTCCCAAGGATCATCTTGACAGAGTGTGCCCCCAGCCCTCCTAGCCCGCCAGAGGCCAGACTTGAGGAACTGGGACCCAGGACAGCTCCCACCCCAAGACCACGGACCCTGGCTGACAGCGGGAGGGGCTGGGATGGCCCACAGGTCCCGCCAGGGGTCGTGGGAGAGACTCCTGGGCTGAGGAGCAGCTTCATGCCCTGGAAGGAGGGGGCAGCTCTGAAGAGACTGGGCAGAGGAGGTTGCAGCCTAGAGGATGGAGGAGCCAGGGTACCCTGTCCTCAGGGACCAGCCCAGGATGGGACTCCGGAGACCTCTACTGCTGACACCTACCCAGAGGAGATCCTCAAGGACTCTGGACACGATGCCCAAAGCTGCAGTAGGGAGCACCAGGGCCAGGCTACTGCCAACTCAGGCTGCGCCACGTGGGGCACCACTGCCCAGCGGATGGACAGCCTGGAGGAGACGCTCCGGGAGCTGGAAGCCACCCTGAGCAACATGGGCACAGGCCCTGCCGTGGGGTCCCCTGGCAGCCCCCCACCCCTACCCCTCAGCCCCCAGGTGGCTGCCCCCTCTTCATCCTTCCCTGCTGCCTTCCTCCTCCATTTCCAGAGTTGGACGGAGTAGGGGGCAGCAGGAATGCCAGGCCAGCCCCCTCCTCCCACCAGCCTTCTCTCAGCTCTTATCACTCTCCTGAGAGCCTGGTGTCAGAGCAGGGTTTGCAGGCAGAGTCCGAGGGAGGCCGGGAAGCCGGCCTACCCAGGGGTCGGCCAATCCCCAGCCTTGGCAAGAACCAGGGCCTCTCCCCTTCTGCTCTGTATCTGTAAACCAACAAATAAAGTTCTCTCCCCACCTTCCCTCTCCACGCTCCCCTCCCCCTCCTGTCTCTGACTCTCTGTCTCTGTCATCTCTCTGCTTGCGCCTCTGGATCCCCAGTGCCCCGTGGGCAGGCCTGGTACTTGGGGAGGTTCATGGGAGCCAAGCTTGCCCATCCCTAGGGAGACCTCACCTCTATCCTCCCCTTAGGAGGAGAATGTGGGCCTGGGGCTGCCTCTCTGCTCTGTGTGCCATTATAGAGAGCCCCTCGCCGGCATGTGCACCCAGGTCCAGATGGTGCCCCTTGCCGGGAGTGGGGTTGCTGCTGGGGACCCTCGCTTTAGCAGAGGCTCCCCAAGGAGGGCATCACCTGCCTCTGGGCTACTCAGGGAAGCCACTGAAGAGCTCTCCCTCAAGAGCTGTTGGGAACCTGGCTGGGGCCCCATCCCTCTCCTGCAGGGAGACCATCAATGGGGACTCAGAGAGTAGACCTGAGTTCTGGACTGGGATGTGGAGCCAGAGAGGGGTCTCCAGGTCTCAAAAGGTCCCACTGGGGAGGTCCTAGCCCCGAAACCCCACCCAGTGCTAGGGTTCCTGTGTGATTCACCCCACGTGCACCCGGCAACTGCAACCCTGTTCCTCTTCTTGCAGAGTGGCGGAGGCAGCGTACCGCCCATGAAGGTGGTGACTCCGGGGGCCTCTCGGCTGAAGGCGGCCCAGGGCCAGGTGGGCAGCCCCGACAAAAGCAAACATGGCAAGCAGAGGGCCGAGTACATGCGGATCCAGGCCCAGCAGCAGGTGAGGGCAGGGACCGTGGGGGCCACCCAGGCCCGCTCTGCTGCATGCCGCACCCCTGCCCAGCTGGGCATCTCCTGCCCCTGCTCCCGTGACCAGCTTTCCCAACCTCTGCCCAGACAGACTTCCCTGCCAGGACTGCCCCACCCACCCCCTGAGCCTTCTCCCTCCTCCTCCCGATCCCGGAGCTTTGGATCTGGGTTAGCACATGAGTTCTCAACCAGGCACCTCCCTTCTCAGGAGTTCCCTCACTCAGACAGAGAAGACTCGTCTCCAGCTGCCACCGCTGGCTCCTGGAGGAGGGGCGAGGGAGCGGGTTTGTGACTCCAGCAGCCCCAACGTCTGGGTCCCTGGCCTACCCTGGGGTGCAGAAGGGGGATTTTGCGGCCCTCTGCTTCCTGCCATTCTGTTTCTCTCTCCGCTTTCCTCTCCCTCTTCCCAGGGCTCCACCTGCTATTCAGGGCCCCACTCTCACCTCAGCCTCCCTCTTAGCTCTTAGGCCACCCCTAACCAAGGGAGAAGCCAACTTTGCATCTGCTTTTCAGCCTTGTGTTTGGGTTTCAGTGGAGTCACCTCCTGTCTTTGCAAGGTGGGGTGGGGACAGGGCGAGGCACTTTGGCCCTCGGAAAGGGTAGGGCTGCAGCAGGAATTGCAGGGGTGCCGCAATCTCTTTCAGATCTAATGAGCAGGCGCGGGGGCTGTGTGGAGCGTGGACACACCTCACCCATGGGTGTTTATTGCCCATGTGGCCTGGTCAGAGGCTGCAGGGTGGCTCCTGGACCTAGATATTGTGAGAGACCCTTAGTGCGCTCGTTTGATTCAGTGAATATGTATGAGCAGCTCCCGTATGACAGGCCCGTTCTGGGTGTGAGGGTGGGGGCTGTGATGTGTCCAGATGCTGTCACTTAAAGAAGGTTCTAGACTCAGAGGCAAGATGTTAGAGAAGGTTCTAGACTCAGAGGCAAGAGGTTAGAGGTGGGTGAGTCCATCTCTTTTTCAGATGAGGGGACAGCTCAGAGAAGGAGAGGGGCCTCCCAAAGGTGCACAGCAAGGTGGCATCACAGCCAGGATTGGGACCGAGGGACCCAGGCCCTGGGCACCCAAGGCCCTGCCTCCCTACTGGCTCCCAGGAGAATCTCTCAAAAAGCATCCCTCCGGCCCCTCGCAGCCTATCCACAGCTCCCCAACTGCCTCCTCATGGCTCCCAGACATTCTGTGAGCCTCACTTCCTGTTCTTTTTCCTGCCACTGCCAGGCATGAGTTCCCCTTGTCCTGTCCAGGCTGGACCCTCCTGGGTGCCCAGCAGAGCAGCTGACATTGACAGAGCTTTCACTGGGGCCAGGCACACGTATTATCTCATCTCACACTCACCACACTGAGGAAGGTCTTTTACCCCCCTATGGTAGGTGGGGGAACTGAGGCTTAACCCAAGGCCACATGGCTGGCAAGTGGGGGGCAGGACACAAGTCCAGACTGCCTCCCTCCCCACCACAAAGTGCTTCAGCCTCTCCAGCAGGCCCCTCCCTTGGCTCTAATTATGCTCCACTGTTTCCCACCCTAGTTCCTCGCTCCCCAGAGCCCAGCTCCTCGGCTGTGGTGTCAGCCTCATGCCTTTATGGCCCAGCCTCCACCCCATCTCCAGGCTTGCCTGGGTCTCCAGTGGCGTCCAGATGGGCTCTTTCCACCCCGCTCCCCCACTGCTCTGCAGCATGTGGCCTTGTAGACCCCCCACACCTGCATAGGGCTGTGCAGACCCTCTGTTCCACAGAATCCTCTCTCCAGCCTCCACCCCGAGCCTCCGGGCTCCTTTCTGGGCAACTCTCTCTTTTTTGAGACGGAGTCTCGCTCTGTCACCCAGGCTGGAGTCCAATGGTGCGATCTCTGCTCACTGCAGCCTCCGCCTCCTGGGTTCAAGTGATTCTTGTGCCTCAGCCTCCCAAGCAGCTGGGACTACAGGCTACCTTACCACACTGGCTAATTTTTGTATTTTTATTACAGACAGGGTTTCACCATGTTGGCCAGGCTGGTCTCAAACTCCTGAGCTCAGGTGATCCTCCCACCTCGGCCTCCCAAAGTGCTGGGATTATAGGCATGAGCCATTGCACCCTGCCTGGGCGATTCTCCTTTGCCTGCCTCTTCCCTTTCCTGTGCCCCACTCCTCAGCCTCTTCTCACACCATGCCTTCCTCTCCTCAGGCACCAGGCACTGCTTAGTCCCTGTCCCCACCCGCATCTCCATTCTGAGCTCCAGTCACCCACACACGCTTCCCCGGGCGTCCCCAGGCTCCTCGCAAGTGTGCATCCAGACACAATGCTCCCCCGATCCTGCCACCCCAGCCTGTACTAGGCTGCCCCAGCTGCTGTCCCCCTCAGGAAGGGTCGCCCACACCCAGCCTTCCCAAGCCCCTTTGTTCCCCTGTCTCACTTCCAGTGCTCCAGTAGCCTTTCTTACAAACATGGCTTCTTTCTGGCAAAGTAATACATGTTTCCTGGTGGAAATTTTATTTTATTTTATTTTATTTTATTTTATTTTATTTTATTTTTGAGACAGAGTCTCGTACTGTCACCCAGGCTGGAGTGCAATGGCGCGATCTCGGCTCACTACAACCTCTGCCTCCTGGGTTCAAGCGATTCTCCTGTCTCAGTCTCCCGAGTAGCTGGGATTACAGGCACCCACCGCCACGCCCAGCTAAATTTTTGTATTTTTAGTAGAGATGGGGTTTCACTGTGTTGGCCAGGCTGGTCTCAAATTCCTGACCTCATGATCCGCCCGCCTCAGCCTCCCAAACTGCTGGGATTACAGGTGTGAGCCGCCGCGCCCGGCCTCCCTGTGGAAATTTTCAACAGTGAAGTATAGAGAACCAGGGGAAAACCATCGCTGTCTCATTACCAGCATGCGTGGTCTTCTAAGAGCCCCTCGCGACTTCTGTCACCTGTAACTGATTTCCCAAGACCTGGGAGTGGGGAGGGAACTTTGTAAAATGCTGATTTGATTGTCTCTGTGTGTGTCTCTCACACATACACACACACACACACACCCCTTCCAGCTTAAAATCCCTGCCCTGGCCCCTGGTGGATGATAAAACCAAATCCTTCGTGTACGACCCAGGGCCCTTCACAGCAGCCTCAGCTCACCCTGCCCCTCCACCCCACACCCTCGGTGTGCTCCAGCCACGCGGGTCACTGGCGGGACATGCTTCACACCAGCTCAGCCTGTGGGCTTGGTCAAAGCCCTCTGTCCTCTCAGGCCCTTCTTTTGCCTGTACAATGGGGACAGAAGTACCCAGCCTGGTCCTGAGCTCACATAATGCCAGGTACAGGTGAGAGCTTAGAAAACCACAGTGAGCTTTACGGCGGTGGGCGGGGGGAGGGAGAGGGGCAGCGCCCAAGGCCTTTCCCTCGTCCCGTGAGTCTAAGCTGTCTTTGACAATGTTGAGGTAGAGCAGACTAGAAGTGCCGGGATCAGGGACACAGAAATTGGGAGTAAGAAAGTTCTAAGATGGAGGTGCATTGCAGCAGTGCATGACCCCACAGAGTAGTCAGAAGAAGTGACTGAGGAGAAGCCTGTGAATGTTGTGCTTAGGATCCCAGGGAGGAACAGGAGCCAGGTTCCCAGGCATACAAGGATCAAGGGCTTGGTGTAGACCTGAAGCTATGGACACCCCCTCTTCTATTAGGGCTAAGAAATCTGCTGAACACCTGCTTATCTTCTCAGATGGCTCAAATGAAGAGGCTCTTTTTTTTTTTGAGATGGAGTCTCGCTCTGTTGCCCAGGCTGGAGTCCAGTGGCGCGATCTCGGCTCACAGCAACCCCCATCTCCCGGGTTCAAGTGATTCTCCTGCTTCAGCCTCCTGAGTAGCTGGGATTACCAGTGTGTGTCACCACGCCCGGCTAATTTTTGTGTTTTTGGTAGAGGTGGAGTTTCACCATGTTGGCCAAGCTGGTCTCGAACTCCTGACCTCAAGGGGTCCACCTCCCAAAGTGCTGGGATTACAGGCGTGAGCCACCACGCCCAGCCCCAAATGAAGAGACTTTAATGAAAGGACCACAGCAGAGGATTCAGGGAGAAAACAAGGGATGCCAAGGTACCCATGGACATCTCAGAGCAGGAGGCTGTGACTCCCTGGGGGAAGGGCAGTGGGGCAGGTGTTTAGCGAGTCCCAGAGGGCGGGAGTAGCAGAGCTGTGCTGTAGAGGGCACAGCTGCTGCCTATGACACAGCTCCCAGGAGGGAGAGAGAAGGGAAGGAACTCTACCCCCCAACACTTTGGGAGGCTAAGATAGGAGGATCACTTGAGGCCAGGAGTTTGAGACCAGCCTGGGCAACATACTGAGCCCCCCCATAATTGGTTCTGGGGCATGGAGAAGCAAGTGAAAGACAGATAGCATACCTGTTAGGTACCAAGTTTACAACTTTTATACCTTAAGGTAAATCTGTGTTGTCACGGCTGCATCCCCACAGCACCTGCTTGGCATACGTAGGCACTCAGTAAATATTTGTTGAGTGAATGAGCGAATGAGTTTGCCACTGATCAGGCCCAATGCAGATGGAAACAGACAAAGCAAATCTGAAAGGTTAAAATGGCAATGGCTATAATGGTTACCATTTGTTGCATGTTTACTGAAAGTGTTGGGTGCTGGGTCTTACACCCAGTTGGCATCATCTCGTGGTGTGCATCTGGTGCTGTGAGGTCTGTTATCCATTTGCAGGTGAGGACATGAGGGCCCAGAGAGATATGGAATTAAGGTCACACAGTTAAAAAGTGGCAGAGCTGGGACTTAAACCCAAGTCCACCTGCTACAAATTCTGTTGTCTTAGTACTGGATTCTGTTGCCCTGCCAGGGAGCATAACCTCATGGGTGTGAGCAAGCCTTGATGAGATCCCGCTTGTGACGAGAATTCTAGAAGGTGATGCGTTAACAAAAAACAAAAGTTGAATAGAGCAATAAAGCAACGCTGGGCTTCACGTGTGTCAGTGAGAATGCTTTCAGCTGCAAGGAACAGGAACCCTGATTCAAAATGGCTTAAACAATAAAGAAAGGTACTCTGTAACCAAGAAGGCTGGAAGCAGGGAGATTCCAGGGTTGGTGAATTCAGCAGCTTGAGGATATCAGGACCCAAGTTTCTTTGCATTTGGTCCCGTTGTCATTTTTATTATTTTATTATTATTATTTTATTTTATTTTATTTTTTTGAGACAGAGTCTTACTCTGTCACCCAGGCTGCAGTGCAATGGTGCAACCTTGGCCCACTGCAACCTCTGCCTCCTGGATTCAAGCAATTCTCCTACCTCAGCCTCCCAAGTAGCTGGGATTACAGGTGCCCACCACCATGCCTGGCTAATTTTTGTATTTTTAGTAGAGACAGGGTTTCACCATGTTGGTCAGGCTGTTCTCGAACTCCTGACCTTGTGATTTGCCCGCCTCAGCCTCCCAAAGTGCTGGGATTACAGGTGTGAGCCACCACACCTGGCCTATTTTATTATTATTATTATTATATATTTTTTCGAGACGGAGTCTCACTCTGTCACGCAGGCTGGAGTGCAGTAGCACGATTTCAGCTCACTGCAACCTCCGCCTCCTGGGTTCAAGCAGTTCTCCTGCCTCAGTCTCCCAAGTAGCTGGGATTACTGGTGCCTACCATTGCACCCGGCTAATTTTTGTATTTTTAGTAAAGATGGGGTTTCACCATGTTGGCCAGGCTGATCTTGAACTCCCGACCTTGTGATCCATGCGCCTCAGCTTCCCAAAGTGCTGGGATTACAGGCGTGAACCACCGTGCCTGGCCTTATTTTATTATTATTATTTTTGAGACAGTTACTCTGTCACCCAGGCTGGAATGCACTGACATGATCTCTGCTCACTGCAGCCTTGACCTCCCCAGGCTCAATTGATCCTCCCGTCTTAGCCTTCCAAGTAGCTGGACGGCAGGTGGCACCACCACGCCTCACTAATTTTGTGTATTTTTGGTACAGCTGGGGTTTCGTCACATTGCCCAGGCTGGTCTCAAACTCCTGACTGCAGGTGGTCCACCCACCTAAGCTTCCCAAAGTGCTGGGATTATAGGCATGAGCCACCATGCCCAGCTTCACACAGCTGTTTTTATTTATTTATTTATTTATTTACTTATTTAAAAATTTTTTTTTGAGATAGAGTCGCCCAGGCTGTCGCCCAGGCTGGAGTGCAGTGGTGTGATCTCGACTCACCGCAACCTCCACCTCTGTGGTTCAAGCCATCCTCCTGCCTCAGCCTCCCAAGTAGCTGGGACTAAAGGCGTGTGCCACCATGCCTGGTTAATTTTCGTATTTTTTGGTAGAGTTGGGGTTTCACTGTGTTGGCCAGGCTGGTCTCAAACTCCTGACGTCAAGTGATCTACCCGCCTAGGCCTCCCAAAGTGCTGGGATTATAGGCCTGAGCCCGGCCTCACACAGCTGTTTTTAGAAGCCAGAGAATCTTTCCCAGAAGCCCCCAACAGACCACACCTCTTATCTCACTGCCCATTCCTAAATCAGTCACTGGCAAGGAGAAAGGAATTTCTCCAGTTGCCATAGATTTTGTCATGATCCCCACACGCCCCACTTTGGGCTGGGGAAAGCCCAGCTTCTCCTGATCCACGCAGGGCTTAGCAAGGAAGGAGGGCGTGGGGGTTAGGGAGGGTGGCCCTGGGAATGGCCCTGGAGGTGGAGCCAGCGAGGTCTGTAGAGTCAAGAGGTTCCACACTTGTCTTGACATCTGGGCGTCTGAGTGTGAAGGGCCTGGGGAGCATGGACCCAGCGAGAGCAGGCGGCCGGCTCTGATCCCCAGGCAAGAGGGAGGTGTGCAGGGTGCTGCCCTCTGGGACCAGCTCAGTGCTCCATGCCTCCCCCAGCTGAAAACTGGACATGTGTGAGGTTTCTGCCTTGCCACAAAGGTGACAAAGTTCTGCTTCTCTGGACATAATTGGAACCAGCAGGGGAGGATGATGGGTGAAAGGAAATGACAGGAATCTTCAGAGATAGCAGCTGTGTCACCTGAGAAGGGTTAGCGGCACAGGCTGGGGTCACCGGGCACAGCTGGATGTGCTCCCTCAACTTCAGGAGAGTGGATTGTGGACGGTGTGGCCAGAGTCTCCTGGGAGGGAAGATGGCCCGAGAGGATTTTAGAAAGCACATGCTTGCAGAAGTGGTCTCCATGAAGAAGCGGGACAGGGATGAGGCATCCCCGTAAACTGGTGAAGCTGGATGTCTAAAGGTCTTGCACTGTCTGTTGTGGGGAGAAGAGGGACCTCGACTAGGTGAGGGCACGTCACCTGCCTGAATATAGGAGCCAGGTGGTGGTGCCGGAAGACAAGTGTTCCAAAGACCAAAGCTTGAAATAGAACGAGGCTCTTGAAAAATGTTGAAGGGACAGGAGCAGAAAAAGCAGCTTTTACCTAGAAGATCAGTTCAGAGGGAAAAGGACAGCCGGGGAGAATCAGCACCTTGCCAGGGGACATAGTGAGGTGTGAAGCGATATCAGGGGAAACTGGACAGTGCTCCTCTCCCATCTGGCTTTGGGGGAAAGAACTTTAAATGGGAAAGGCTAGAGCAGAGGAGAGGCAGGACTGAGCCCAAGGTAAGTGACACAATGGTCAGAGAGCCTCTGGTTCCCTTTAGATGAATTTGTCTCCAGGCCCAGGTACTGGGGGCACAGAGAGGGCAGGGGCTATGCCTGACACATGCTGAGGACTGCGTGAGTCTGACGACCCTGTGGCTGGGCCCTCCCCGGACCCCCTAGAACTCCCTTGAGTAATGGATGAGCAGAGGAGAGGGGTTAGAAAACCCAAACAAGGCTGGGCGTGGTGGCTCATGCCTGTAGTCCCAACCCTTTGGGAGGCCGAGGTGGGCGGATCACCTAAGGTCAGGAGTTTGAAACCAGCCTGACCAACATGGAGAAACCTTATGTTACTAAAAATACAAAATTAGCCAGGCGTGGTGGCACATGCCTGTAATTTCAGCTACTCGGGAGGCTGAGGCAGGAGAATTACTTGAACCCGGGAGGCAGAAGTTGCTATGAGCCAAGATCGTACCATTGCGCTCCCACCTGGGCAACAAGAGCAAAAATCTGTCTCCAAAAAAAAAAAAAAAAAAAAGCAAGGAAGAAAAGAAAAAGAAAGCTCAAATGGGGAACTTCCGCTTTAACTTAAATAAATAAATAAATAACAAAACCAAAAAAAACCAAAAAAAAACCAAAAAAACAGGGCCTATTCTGTCACCCAGGCTGGAATGCAGTGGTGCAATCACAGCTCACTGCCACTTCCACCTCCTGGGCTCAGGCCATCCTCCCACCTCAGCCTCCACTGGCACACAACATCACACTCAGCTATTAAAATTTTATTTTTATTTTTAGTAGAGATGAGGTCTCGCCATGTTGCCCAGGCCGGTCTTGACTTCCTGGGCTCAAACAATCCTCCTGCCTCAGCCTCCTAAAGTGCTGGGATTACAGGTGTGAGCCACCACACCTGGCCCTGGTTTTGATTCTCATAAAAGGGAAATGTAGATGACAGACTACACTGTGGTGAGCAAAACCCAGGTGTATCGCAGAACCAACCATCTGTGCACCTGTAAAGGAGAAATGGTGATTGCAGCCAGCGTTGGTTCTTCACTGTGAGCCAGGCAGGCTGCTGGAGACAGGGCTTGCTTTAGACTCTAGCTTCTCCAGTTTCTCCACTGCAAGGCATCTGAGAAAATCCCCTAGCAGCAGGGTGATAGTACAGGGAAGTGAATGACCCTGCCCAGACCTAACCTCAGGGTGGTCTCTGGTGACTTGCCACAGCACCCTGTCTTATCTTTTGGATCTTTTTTAAATCTGGGTGATTCAGTTCTCACACTAGTAGCTAAGCAAGGCCAGGAGGGACAGTGATTACAATTACAGAGAGAAACCCGGGTCTGTGTAGCCTTAACCCAGTGGATCTCAAAGGTAAGTGTGCAGCAGAGGCCCCTGGGGCGCCTGCTTAAAATGCACATGCATGAGCCCACACAAGAGATGGATTCTGGAGGGGAGCCCAGGAATCTGCATTCATGATGCATGCCACAAGGTGTCCCCTGGAAGTGATGAGGTAATGCATGTAGCTCTCAAACTGCACTTTGGAGACCGCAGCTCCAGAGGACAAGCCTCCAGGACCGGTGGAGACACCAAAGGTGGGACGAGGATGAGGGGTCAGTTCTGACCACTAGAACTGACCAGTGAGGGCAGGACGAGTCATGAGGAAGTAGCCTCCTGTTACCAACTGGGGCGACAAGCGCTTGCAGGGTGCGCAGTGGGGCTTCCTGCACTGAGCGGGAGCCTGGTGCGGTAGCACCTTCTTCCCAGATTTCCAGGTGGTGGTGGTGGAGGTGGGCGTGCTTAGTGTTTATTCCCCACAGGGAGGATAAGCCCCTTCCTCTGTTGCCACCAGGATGAGGCTGGAAGGGGCTCTGGCTGTATGACAGGCCAGTTGGAACTAGGAGCCTTTCCCCACCCTGCCCCCGCTCCCCCGCAGGGCATGTGCCCCGTCCCAGCTAACGTTTCACTTCTTCTTCCTCCCCTCCCCTACCCTTCCCCATCCCCACCTCCCCGTCTGCCCGTCCTGGGCGCGGCCTCTCCTGTGCTTCTCTGGTCACTCTCTGCTTCTCTCTCTGCTCTCAGTAACTGTGGGCCTGCCCTCCTGCTCTGACCACCTAGGCCCTTTGTCCCACCTTGTGCCCCCTCCCCGCCTTTTCTGCCCCCGCCCCTCCCCATTCAAGGGACCTCTCTCTCCAGATGCCCCTCTGGCTTCTTCCTTTTGCAGTTAATTTCCTTGGATTTGTGGAGATTTTCCACTTTTAAAACTTCAGCTGGGGGCCAGCATGGAGGCGCTCCCTTCTGCTCTCTGACCCCTGACCCCTGTTTTTGTTCCAGGCCACTAAACCATCTAAAGAGATGAGCGGGTCGAATGAGACCTCGAGCCCAGTCTCAGAAAAGCCCTCGGCTTCCAGAACCTCTATCCCTGTATTGACTTCCTTTGGGGCAAGGAATTCTTCCATCTCCTTCTAGAAGCCCCTCACCCCGCTGCCCTGCCTGTACCCCTCCCTTACTCCTGCCATTTCTCCCCTCTCTTCCCTTCATCTCCACCCCACCCTACTCTCCAGACCCCCTGAGGGGTGCGCCCTGCAGAGGAGGGTGTGGCCCTCAGCTCCCTCTACCCATCCTCTGTTGGTGTTTTTGGTTTTTTTTTTAATGATTCACTTTTAATTATCTTTTTTTTAAACAGTAAAAATAAAAACCAAACACACCACCTTCCTTGATCTGTTCTCAGCTGGCCTCTTACTGGCCGCACCTGTCACATCTCTCCCTCTTCTCTTTCACCACTCTTTCCCCTCAGTCCATCCTGAAGCTCCTGCACCCCCTTCCCGCCTTCCCCTCACTTCCCAAGAATACTCCAAACAAACTCTGAGCCACGGAGACTTGGAGCAGTGGGAGACCCCTCTCCCGTTTCTCGGTACTTTCCTGGAGGAACGCGGGGACATCGGACCAACCCATATACCAGGCCGGAGGGCGGGGTGCAGGGAGACTGACCTTGGAGACGCCCCACTCCCTATCCAAGCTCGGACAAGACTGCGACCTCCTCTGTGGCTGCTCTGCCTCCTCCCACTCACACCCCACTGGGCCTGGAGTAGAGACGGACAGGCTGGAGACTAGGCCGGAGCTTGAGAGGCCTCAGGGTGGGTGTGAGGCCATGGAGTCTGCGTCCCTGGGGAGGCGCTGGCCTCCTGGGCCTCGCCGTCCTGTGGGGAGTGGAGGACAGAGGCCCTTTGGTCTGCTGGCTGTGGAGGGTGGGTTGCACGGACAGCTGGACATCGGGGACACTGCCTTGGGAGAGGGCGGCCCGGACGGGTATTTGGTACTTTTAGTTTCCTGATTTAGCACTTTAAATGGCATTAACTTATTTAATGGGGGTGGGGTGGGCAAGAATGAGGGGCCTAGAAAACCAGGTTTTGTGGCCTGCAGTTGGGGGAAGGGTCTGGTTTGAGGGAAATGGGAGGGTCGAGAGGGGCTTGATGGGGAGCAGTGAAGACACCTGGGACCCCGAGGTGGGGTGACTTGACCTTCAGTCATCCTCCTGGCGATTTGAGGGTTTTCCGGGAAAGGATGAGAAGTAGTTTTTCAATGGGGCTCTGGTGACCCTGGTGAGATGTCTGAAGGTCCCTGAGGCCTGACCGTCCAGCCAGCGCCCCTGGCCTGTGGATGCCCTGCCTGCCCTGCAGAGGCAGTTGGCAGTGCCACCTTGCTTTTGGCCGGGTCCTGGGGAGGCAGAGAGAGGCCAATTTTGGTTCTCACTCCTGGCCGCCCAGAGGGCACAGTGAGGAGCCAGTAGGGAGAGGATGAGAGAAGAGGAGGAGGAGGAGTGGGGTCCCCGGCAGCAGGCGTCCCACTTGGAGCACAAAGTGAAGCAAGCACAGGGGAGGGGGACTCGAATCAGTCCCCCAAGCAAGCACAGAAAGGAGGAGCTGCGCAAGAGGCAGAGCCCCCCAACCCCTGGGGCCTGGCTGGGGAAAGGCTGCACTTGGGGAGAGCCAGGAGCTGTTGAAGGTTTGTGGGGAGGGGAAACTGGGGTTGTGTTTCTTCATTTCTTTTTTCGTTTTTGCCTTTGTTGGTTCATCCTTGTTTTCTAGCTTTGGATCATTTTTGTAACAAGGCGAGCAAGCCTTTTTGAAAAATAACAAAAGAGGAAAAAAGAATCCCTCCTGAAAAAAAAAAAAACCCTGGAAAATAGAAAAAAAAAAAAGGACCTCATAAATGATGCAATTACTTTTAATTGCAGGCAACTCTTTACATTTAAGTGAAGTGTCTTAACATTTTATATTGTTTTAAAAATATATTTACATATTATATATATAATATACGTAATATAAATATATATAAATATTTAAAAAAGAAAAAAAAAAGAAAACCACGGCACTCTCTCCCTGGCCACTGTTTTGGCGGGGGAGGGGGCTGGGGGCGGGCGCGTTGGCCTGGCTTCTGTGGTCCCAGTGAAACGGTCTGGTTTGATTTGGCTGTACAGAGACCCCCTGACTTGGGAGGGGAGGGGGGAGTGGTGCCCCCTCCTCCCTCCACTCCATTACTCTCTGCTTGCTACTTCGCTTGCCCCCAGCTCCCACCCTCAGCCCTGTGACTGGAATGTGTGCCCCACCGTCATTGTCCTGAGTTGAATGTCCCTTTGTGGGGGAGGTGGGGGGGACAGTGTCCATCCACGAAGGGGCAGAAGGAGGGAGCCATGTGTCCCGCCCCACCCGCTCGGGTAAAGTCCAGTGGGATTTGCATCTTTCTTTCCCTTTGGTTCCTGCACATTTATGGGCTGGGAGGCATCCGTGTGGAATCGTGTGCAGCCTGTGTGTGTGCTGGCGTGAGCCCATGCACCGTGTGTGCAGACGCATGGGGCCTGCACCCACAGGAATGGCCGAGCACGTGTGTGGCGGAAGGCGTGGGCACATAGGTGTATGTAACCTGTTTGGGCATTGGCACGTGCCTACCTGCATGTTAGCGTGAGAGGAGCTTTGTGTGTGAGAACATGTGTAATGTGTGTGCAGACATGCCTAGCGCCAGAGACTTGTGTGTGGGCCATGTACATGTGGACAGAGACACGTACATGGAGGTGCATGTGATCTGTGTCTGCGAGTGTGTGTGTGCACGTGTGTGTGCTGGTGCAGACCCAGGTGTGTGGGTGTGCCTCTGTGTGCGTGTGTTCATCATCCCTGCACCACTGGCTCCGGCTCCCTTCCCAAGCCATCGTCCCCGCTGGCCCTCTCACAGCCTGCAGCACGTCAGTGCCCCCAGCTGCATGCGCCTCGCTGCTCTGTCCATCAGTGTGTGCTTGACCAAGAGAAAACTAAGATGTCTCAGGGGACCCCTGTACCTGGTCCTCTCAGCCCCCGCCCACTGTGCTGTGTTACTCGCATGGGGGGTTTCTCTCCTGCCCCTTCCACAATATGCTGTTTCCCCAGGAGCCTCAGGCCTGAGGCTCTGAGTGGGGTCCCCAGGGGGTCCCCTGGGGTGAGCCCCAGTTCCACACCCTGCCCCGTCCACCCTGTAGGGCCCATGTTGGTGTAGCAGTGATGGCTTCTGTGGATATTCTGTGACCTCTGTCGGTGTAACTTGACAATTTCTAAATGGAAAAGGGTTGCTGTGTTTTCTCTGTCTCTCTTTTTTAATGTCCTTTTTTCTTCTTCCCACCTCCCTGCTCTCTTTCCTTTTCAGTTTTTCTAGCCAAGTGTTTGGGGCTTTAATAAAACTTGTTTCTTTTTCCTCTCCTGGATCTCCTTCCTATAGGCTGATGTCTCATTATTTCTCTGCTTCACCCTGGAGGATCTGGAAGGTGCTGAGATGGGTGGGGTGGCAGGTGGGGAATCCCTGGCAGCCATTGGTCTTCAGCTGACAGAGCATGAGGGGGAGGACAGAACAGGGCCCCTGGGATTAGCCAGGTGGGGTGGTGTACACACCTGTAATCCCAGCTACTCGGGTGGCTGAGGCATGAGAATCTCTTGAACCCAGGAGGTGGAGGTTGCAGTGAGCCAAGATCGCACCACTGCACTCCAACCTGGGTGAGAGAGCAAGACCCTGTCTCAAAAAACAAAAACAAAACAAACAAAAACAGCTCTTGGCTTGGCATTCCAGGAGGTGCCCTGCCTAACCCTCACAGCCGTCGGTGAGGTAGCTACCAGCACTTCCTACTCGGGCGAGACAAAGCTCAGAGATGTTGGGCATCTTACCCAGAGTCATACAACTGGTAAGTTGTAGACAAACCAGTAAGTTTGAATCCAGCTCTGCCTGACACCAAAGCCCGTGGTTAGCCCGAAAACCGAGGTCATCAGCCCTCCAGCAGAACCTTGCATTGGGTCTCAGCCTCCTGCCCTTTGAGTGAGGTGACCCTTGTTGGGGTCCACCCATCTTTTCTTTCTTTTTTTTTTTTTTTTGAGACAGAGTCTTGCTCTGTCACCCAGGCTGGAGTGCAGTGGCCGGATCTCAGCTCACTGCAAGCTCCGCCTCCTGGGTTCACACCATTCTCCTGCCTCAGCCTCCCAAGTAGCTGGGACTACAGGCGCCCACTACCTCGCCCAGCTAGTTTTTTGTATTTTTTAGTAGAGACGGGGTTTCACCGTGTTAGCTAGGATGGTCTTGATCTCCTGACCTCGTGATCCGCCTGTCTCGGCCTCCCAAAGTGCTGGGATTACAGGCTTGAGCCACCGTGCCCGGCCTTCTTTCTTTCCTTTTCTTTTTTTTTTTTTTTAGACAGGGTTTCCCTCTGTCACTCAGGCTGGAGTGCATGATTACAGCTCACTATAGCCTCAACTTCCCTGGGCTCAGGTAATCCTCCCACCTCAGCCTCCCAAGTAGCTGGAACTACAGGTGCCTGCCACCACACTTGGCTACATTTTTTGTATTTTTTGTAGAGATGAGATTTCGCCATGTTGCCCAGGCTGGTCTCGAACTCTTGAGCTCAAGTGATCTGCCCACCTTGGCCTTCCAAAGTGCTGGGATTACAGGCGTGAGCCACCGAGCCCGACCACACCCATCTTTTCTAGATGCTGCAGCTTTCAAACCTGTAAAGCAGTAACAATACAAAATACATTTGACACCTCTGTGCTTTAGGTATGTACACACATATGCGCAAACAGCCACAGCAAAGCAGCACCTGCTACACAGAGCACCATGGAGTGGGCCACGGGTCCTGATTGGGCTTTACAGGCTTTCCTGGAATTCTGAAGGCTGTGCCACTGTTCCAGCATGTTCTAAGAGTCCCCCAGGCTGCCCCTCCAGCTGTTCTGTGTGACTGAGGGCTGGCATGTTACTGAATCTCTTCTCCCTGCTCAGCATCACTTCACTTCCATCCCTGAAGGTAATGACCGTGTCCTGGAGCCACAATCTTCCAGTTATTGCAGGGACCCCAGTTGCGCTTTCTTCTCCTAAAGACCTCTTTAGAGACAGAGGGCAGCAACCTGCCTTCTGTCTGCAGGGAATGCCCCTCCATGAGTCACCCACCCATCGAAGCCCAGCAACCCTTGAGACTCACAGAAAGCCAGTCCCCAGCCTGCCCGGAGCCCATCCCTATGTCCTTTTTAGAATGTCAGCAGATCTTGCCTTCTCTCTGCCATCCTATTCCCCAAAAACTGGGAGAGGAGCCAAAAACCCCCTCTCCCAGAATCACTGCACTCATGACAGTTCAAGATCAAGTAACAAGTGGAACCATCCGCTGCACGCCTGGAAGGAGGCTGGCACTCATTCTCCCGCCAGATGCCTATCCAGGACGCACTCCTTGTGAGGCGCTGCTCATCCACTCCTTGGGGCTGGGGCTCTGTCTGGCAGGGGAGCCACCAGGACAGCCAGCAGACAGAACACAGACACCTGAGCTCAACCAAGGCAGACGCTGGGAGCGCACAGGAAAGAGGCCTGCAACAGGTGTGGCAGGGAGTAGCAGGGTCGGTCACATTTGAGGGGAGACCTTATGGGTGAGGAGTGGGCTTTGGGGGCGCTGGTGGCTGAGGTTCCCAGGCACAAGGCCCTGGGTGGGACATAACCAGTGCGTTCTGGAAAATGAAGGAAATCCAAGAAGAGTGAAGAGGGGAAAGTGCAGCGTGGTGGGCAGAAGCCTCCTCATGTGAGGCCTTATGGGCTGCGGTAAGGAAGGTGCCATGGAAAACAATAGGAGGGTTTAAAGTAAGAAAGTGTCATGAACTGACATGTTTCAGAAGTGGTCTCAGAGTGGGCTGGGCGCGGTGGCTCACACCTGTAGTCCCAGCTACTTGGGAGGCCTAGGTGGGCAGATCACAAGGTCAGGAGCTCGAGACCAGCCTGGCCAACATGGTGAAACCCCGTGTCTACTAAAAATACAAAAATTAGCTGGGCATGTTGGCGGGCACCTGTAATCCCAGCTACTGGGGAAGCTGAGGCAGGAGAATCACTTGAACCCGGGGGGCAGAGGTTGCAATGAGCCGAGATCATGGCATTGCACTCCAGCCTGGGCGACAAGAATGAGACTCTGTCTCAAAAAAAAGAAAAGAAAAAGAAAGTTATCTCAGAGTGGCATGCACCTGCAGTTCCAGCTACTGGGGAGGCTGAGGCGGGAGGATTGCTTGGGCCAGGAGTTCGAAGTTGCAGTGAGCTATGATGGCACCACTGCACTCCAGTGTGGGTGACAGAGGGACGCCCTGTCTACAATACAATACAATACAATACAACACAACACAACACAACACAATACAATACAGTAGGACAGGCGTGGTGGCTCACACCTGTAATCCCAGCACTTTGGAAGGCCAAAGCAGGTGGATCATCACTTGAGGCCAAGAGTGCAGGACCAGCATGGCCAACATGGTTAAAACCTCACCTCTACTAAAAATACAAAAATGTACTGGATGTGGTGGTGCACACCTGTAATCCCAGCTACTCAGGAGGCTGAGGCAGGAGAATCAGCTTGAACCTGCAAGGCAGAGATTGCAGTGAACCAAGATCGTACCACTGCACTCCAGCCTGGGAGACAGAGTGAGACTCTCTCTCAAAATAAAATAAAATAAAATAAAATAAATAAATAAATAAAAATAAAATAAAATAAAATAAAATCGTTACCTCTGGCTGCCTTGTAGAAAGGAGATGGAGAGGCAGGAGTGAATGCAGAGTGATAATTTAGGACCAGGTGCAGATGACAGCTGCCTGGACTCACTCAAGCCTAACAACCCAATGTCTGAGGGAAGGGGAAAATGTGTCTCAGAGACTTTGTAGCGTTGGAGTGATGGAGCCAGAATTTAAATCCGGGACTTGGCTGGGCGAGGTGGCTCATGCCTGTAATCCTAGCACTTTGGAGGCCGAGGAGGGCAGATTGCTTGAGCTCAGGGGTTGGAGACCAGCCTGGGCAACATGGTAAAACCCCATCTCTACAAAAAAAATACAAGAATTAGCCAGATGTGGTGGTGGGTACCTGTATCTCAGCTACTCGGGAGGCTGAGGTGGGAGGATCGTTTGAGCTGGGGAAGTTGACGCTGCAGTGAACCATGATCGTGCCACTGTACTCCAGCCTGGGTGACAGAGCGAGACCCTGTCTCAAAAATGAAAAATAAATCCGGAACTTACCCCTCCCAATAACCATGCTTTATTAATGTTTTATAATACTAATTGCTAACATTTATGGAGAGTCCATTAATCCTCTAACAACCCAGACAATAGATATTATTACCTCCGTGCTATCGGTGGGGAAGGCTGGCTCTGGTCAAGATTTGAGCATGATCTGACTGCCTTCAGAGCTCAGGCTCCCGATGGAGAGGAGGCAGGGGCTACTTGACGCATAGTGGTCAGGGAAGCCCTCGGCGTCTCCCCTTCACTGTCTGCAATCCTCTCTGGGTCCCCCTGGGCATTTTCTGACTGATCATTGAGTGGCTTAAGTGGTCTCTGAGCTCACAGAGTGACAGAGCACGATCTACAGTTTGGGGACCTGGTTCTAGTGGCATCTGTGCCCCTTAACTGAGAACAGGCTCCCTCAAAGCTCACTGGTGCTGACTGACTGATACCACTCGTAATGGCACACCTAGCAGAGGGATCCCTCCCTCCCCTCCCCTTTGTCATCGTTCCAGAAATCTTCCCTCAAACTCCCAGCCTGTGCTTTAGTTCAGGGTGACAATCATGCTGCCTCTCCATGTCCATACTAGAAGGGCAGGGAAACAATCTTTATTCCTTTCACCTAAGCCCTCATAGATTTGGAGTTTTCCCAAAGAAATGTTTCCCATGAAATATATCAAACCCCACTGGAGGCCGGGCGTGGTGGCTCATGCCTGTAATCCCAGCACTTTGGGAGGCCGAGGTGGGTGGATCACGAGGTCAAGAGATCGAGACCATCCTGGCCAACATGGTGAAACCCTGTCTCTACTAAAAATACAAAAAAGTAGCTGGGTGTGGTGGCACGTGCCTGTAGTACCAGCTACTCGGGAGGCTGAAGCAGGAGAATTGCTTGAAACCGGAAGGCGGAGGTTGCAGTGAGCTGAGATCGTACCACTGCACTCCAGCCTGGGCAAGAAGAGAGAAACTCGGTCTCAAAAAAAAAAAAAAAAAGAAAAAAGAAAAAAAGAAAAAAACCCACTGGATAGGCAGAGCAAGTTTTATTGTATTTTATTTACCCTATTTTACTTTTTTGAGACAAGGTCTTGCTCTGTCACCCACACTGGAGTGCACTGGCACCATCATAGCTCACTGCAACCTCAAACTCCTGAGCACAAGCGATCCTCTGGCCTCAGTCTCCTGAGTTGCTGGGACTACAGGTGCAAGTCACAA